ATTTGTTTCAGAGAACAAATGCTCCAGATTGCCTTCATCATCATTAGGAGCAACAAACTTGGGAGCACGGAACAACGTAGAGACCTCATCAAACACCACATCTCTAGAGACAGTGAACTTCTTTGTTTTTGGATCCATACACCTCCAACCCTTCCTGTATGAATCATAACCAACAAAAACACACTTTCTTGCCTTTGGGTCAAGTTTAGTTTTATTGCTCTTGGGAACATGAACATAGCACATAGAACCAAACACTCTAAAATAATTCACATTTGGCTTTTCACCATACAACATTTCAAAAGGAGATTTTTGTGTACCTGGCCAAGAGGGCAGCCTGTTTGTTACATGACATGCACACTGAATTGCTTCAGCCCAAAGTTCTCATGGAAGATTTTTGTCATGTAGCCAAGACAGACACACTGAAGTGAGGTGTGCAAGCTTTCTTTCTGCGACTCGTTTTGTTGTGGAGTATCCGGGCATGTCATTTGACGATGAATGCCATTCTCGTCACAGAATTTGAAGAATTCTTCTGACATATACTCCCCACCATTATCACTTCGGAGACACCTTATCTTTCTTCCGAACTCTTTTTCAACTGTTTCTTTAAATTCTGCAAACTTGGACAGTGCTTCACTCTTCTCCTTTAAAAACTTTACCCAAGTGAACCTTGAGTGATCATCAATTAGCACCATGACATACCGTTGACTGCTACAACTCGGTGTTCTTGTTGGCCCCATCAAATCTGTGTGAATCAAATCAAATGTTGCATAGCGTCGACTTGATGACCTGTTGAAAGGTAAGCGATGTGATTTGCCAAATTGATAGCCTTGACAAATAATATCTTCATGAACATTCTTTAAAACGGGCATCCCATCCACCAATCGCTTTGATGAGATTTACTGCAACATTTGATAGCCTACATGACCCAACCGAACATGCCAGATTGCAACATTGTTAGTCTGGCTTGTTTTCTTTACATATGCTTCACCTGCTGACATAACATACAAGGTACCTTTCTTCTCACCAGAGAAAACGACATCAGCAGAAATTTCTTTTACATTCTCAAGCACTTTAACATCCTTAGGACCAAACAATACATATTTTCCAGATTCAGTAATTTGAGGAACTGAAACTAAATTTTTAGTCAAACCTGGAACATGATAAACATCATCCAACTTGAAACCTTTTGATCGTGCATCATCAATGGCATCAATTATCGCAACGCCTTCTTTGGTTACTGGGTGTGTTGAGTTGTCGGCAATGACTATAACTTGGTCCCCAAGGTGTTCACGTGTTTCTGAGAACAAGGTCTCATTACTAGTCACATGATGAGAGCAACCGAAGTCGATAATCTACTCCTCCTCTTTGTTGTATGCAAAGTTCACAAAGGCCTTAGTCAGCTTCTGTTCAATAGCCTCAACAGTGAAGCAGTGATCCCAATTGAGCTGATCATCTTCTTCAGTTGTGCATGCAACATTCACCTTAGACAATTTTACTCGACAGTGCTTCTTTATATGTCCAGGTTTTCCACATTGAAAGCATGTAATGGGCTGCTTAGTAGGTGTGTCACCATCTTCTTTTGCACTTGAGCCTTCCTCTTTGCTCTTGCTGCTCGGTGCAACCTTTATATTTGATCTTCCCTTTGAAAAAAGAACAGCATCGTCTCATAGCTCTTCGCCATCTGTTTTGCCAAAGCCTCTTGATTAGAGAGAAGATTCTCTAATTCTTCAACAGAAGGCTGTGTTGACCACCCTTGGATTGAGGTGACAAAAGGTCCGTACTCCTTCTTCAAGTCGCGAATGAGATAGCGACGTAGACGAGCTTCTCTAATCTTTTCAGTTGAATCGATTTCTGAAATCTCAGCGTAGATGCTCTTAACTCATTAGAAATACTTAGAAATAGACATACCTTCTTGTGTCAACATGGCCAATTCATTCTCCAGGAACTATAGCCTTGCCGTGTTCTTCTTGGTGAACAATCTCTCAAGTGTTTGCCAAACTTCTTTTGGAGAGGTAACATCACGAATGTGATCTATAAACACTTTGCTGATAGACGTTCTCAAGGCAAAGAGAGCCTTTCCGCATTTAATCTTCCACTTGCATCGTGACTCAGCATTCTCTGATACATCAAAAGGAATTGTGTCAGCATCAACCACCAACTCCCATAGATCCTAACCTTGAAGGTATGCCTCCATACACATTCTCCAATACTTGTAGTTGTTGCCTACAAGCTTCTCCATCCCATTCTGAACACTCCCTCCATTTGAGACTTCCATGGTTGCAAGCGAACGTAACTTGGCTCACGAACTAGGCTCTGATACCATAAAACAAACGAAGGGGGAAATAAAATAATAAAACTGGATATTATCTTGGAGAATACTTTCTGATTATCTGCTTTTTCAAAGATTACATCAAGATCTTTATAATATGAATAACAAGCCCACTCCCACATAATTCTCCAACTACTAGATATCTAGTATCCCCATTATTCAAAACATAGCTAAATAAAAGGAAACTAATAAAGCTAGAAAATAGGAAACTTACGTGAACAAGCCTCACGTTTTTTGACTCGGTAAAACTTAAATAAACAAATGAGATAAATAAATAAATAAGGAACCCCAAGCATGAAAGTCACGTGCAGTAGAAGTTGGCACTAATTTTTGACAATGTTTCAGCTTCAGTTGTCTCTATGTATATGATTAATCCATGCTCCTCTTCCACATTTACCCCCACACACACACCCAAAACCAAACCCTTAAAATCTTCCATTGCTGCACACCAACCAAACAATGAAGCTTGCTGGGTTATCAGCATTCCTGTCTTTCCTTCTTGTTGCCTCCACCGCCGCCGCGGCTGACATATTGGAGCAACTGTACAACACAGACAGCGACCCCGTGAAAAATTCCCGGCACATACTACGTAAAACCTATTTCTCATATTATTAAAGGTAGTGGGATTACATTTTTTCCCATTATCCATGTAGAGGTTCATGCACAATCGCTGTGGTTGATGCTCCCTTCATTGGAGGACAACCGTTATTCATGTCATCTATTCTAAGAATACCTATTCCTCAACACAACCATGTCACCGACCCAACATGTATGCCCATACGGGAAATTGGGTCGTCACTAGGCTGTCGCCGCTTCCTACCGGAAAGCCTGTGATGGTCGGTCTAGCAGTCGACGATGCCATTGCTCGTGGTTCATTTCGCATTAAGAGAGTTAGGCTTGTTTCAGAGACGCGTTACTATATAAGCTTGTCTTCTACGACGCAGAAAACGAGTGTGAAGATGTTGGGGCCTTCGTCGACGGTGAAAACCGACGTCGTCTGGTTGTCACTAATGAAGAGTCTCTAATTTTTACGATTCGCAAGGGATGGAAGAGAAGCTCCGACTCTGATTTGTCTGTGGTGGTCTGAACTATGAACGTCTGAAGCTTAGAGATAATAATACTACCTCCGGTCCTTAATATAAGATCCTGTTTGACTTTTATTTTGGTCCTAAATATAAGAACCCAATCCACTTTGTCTCTCATATTTATACATTTTTTTCTAAAGTAGCCTTCTAATAATAAAAGTTCTAGTCAATACACTTGATTAGTAAGGATATTTTAAGAAAAACAACACCTATTTAGGACAAATAACTAATTACTCAACTTACTTCCTTAATCTTCTCAAATTAGTCAACTGCCTCTTACAATTAGGTCTGGAGGTAGTAATTAATAATACTAGCATCATAATAACGAAGCCTTCTATGACTTCTTTTGTTTCTAGCTGGGCGTCTGATGAACCTGAATCTATCTCTTCTATAATAAACAGCGATGTGTGTATACACACACACATATATATACCCCTCTAGTCCTAAAATATAAGATCTATTTTATAATACAAATTGCACTACAAAATGGGTCTTATGTGACATTCAAGTTGCGTGAGATTCTTTTGCCCTCACATTCAATATACAGGGCCAACCACAAAGGGAGCCAAAGCTCACAGATTCTTGAAGAATGTTTCATACAATTTCTTTATAGGGTTTATAGTGAGAAGAATATGATATGCCACTGCCACCTACCAGGCTACCACATGTAGCTAGTGCGTGACAGACTTTCAAATATACACACACCTATAGAAATATATTCTTCGAATGATATACTTTTCTGGCCCTAAATATAAAACCCATTTTATAGTATAATTTATATTATAAAATGGGTCTTATATTTCAGACCGAGTATTATTTTATAACATAAAGTGAACACTTTTAAATGACATATTAGTGATTCGTGTCAATTTAACATAAGAAAGAGCTCGTCGAGAGGTTGTTGTCCATTGACAACACTTGGTGGGTTGGATTCATCAACGAGCTCAGTGTCCAAAAATAAGAATAATATAATCCATTACCCACATGCTTGAAGGATAATGATGAACCTGAACTAGCAACTTAATAATATTAAGTTTGGTTTGAAATGGTGATTAAAGTCTTAAAAACAGGTATTTAATCATGATTATGAAAAACAGTGTAAGATGTTATGAAAATTTTTATTTCGATTTGCATAGAAGTGTTTATAAATTCTTGTATTAAGCAGAATTTTACATTAATGAAGCCTATTACTCCTTATTAATATGAGGATTCGTTTCTCCATGGAGAGAATTAATTTGTAAGTCTTATAGTTTTATAAATTTTCAATGCTGCATTATGTTATTTGTGGGTTCAGATATATGCCCAATCTCCAAAAAATAAGCTTAAAATATGATCAGCATGGGCACTAATCGATGCTCCCCATGAAACACAGGCACATGCATATAATGATCACTAGCTGGGATAATTAAACACGAAAAGATTAATTTAATTTGGTTAATGAGTCACGTGATATGATAATAACTCCTTATAAATAACCCTCACTATCTGCTCACCCCTTCACGAGCAAAACCCTAACACAGAGAGAGAAAAGAAGAGATGAGTTTGAGGAAGAAGGCGATGGGAAAGTAGGTGTGATTCTGTTCTTGATGGTCTTCACTATAACTGTGGAGGCTCGCTTCGATCCGAAGGCCTTGCTGGCTCAAGTGACGACGACGGAGGAGGAGAATGGCGGAGCAAACTACTCGTTGAAGTCGACCACCGCCGCCTGCTGCGACAGCTGCGTGTGCACCAAGTCAAGTCCACCTCAGTGCCAATGCGGTGACGTTGGACCGACTTGCCACTCAGCTTGCAAGAACTGTATCTGCACATACTCAATGCCTCCACACTGTGTCTCTGCTGATACCACCAACTTCTGCTATGATCCTTGCTCATCCTCCTCTTCTGCTAAACCCATACCTGCGCATTAATACGAAATATCTCGTACTAAGTACCTACGTACTACTTTAATTAGGCTTTAATTTGTTTCTATATATGTGCGTCAATGCTGTTATGTGAGCCCTTTGTAATCAAATAAAATATCTTTTGCCTTTTGCTTTCAGTTTGCTTAATTATTTTTGCATGCTAGTTAGTTCTTGTTGGCTGTTTATCCAGTGCTATGTGAATCAGGTAGCTAGAGGATCTATCAAACAAGTATTTCTAGCTGGCGATATTGTAGGATCCGTTTCCCACCCCTCGTGTGGCTTTTAGTTTCACCCGGTACTATAATGCATTGTGCGAGGGAGTTGCGTTGGTGTATCCTACCTACGTTCTCAGCTTTGAATAAATCACGGGGTTTAATTTGTGAAATTTATAGCATCTGATTTGGCAGGTTTCAACCATAAGTCTTATTTTAAAAATATTATTTAATTATAAATCTATATAAAAAAATGACGTGTGGTTGTGATTGACGAATTTAATGTAATAAATATAAACAACTTAATTGAAGTGATTTTCATTAGGAAACAAGACAGAAAGCCTTAATTGAAGTGATTTTCATTAGGAAACAAAACAGAAAGCCATTTGAAAAGAAGAAAAGAAATAAAAAAAACAAGAAAATAAATTGGCATATACGTACCTAATCACGTGTTTAATGTTTCGGACCAACTAGGGTTTATTTTTTTTTTTTGGTACATAATAGTTTATATGAGTTGGATGCTAGGGACTCACTAGGATTAGGATATACCTCCAGATTCAGACAGCACTTAGAGAGATATTTAGGATCTGTTTGGCTCAATAAGAGGAAGGAAAGGGGAGGAATGTTAATGGAGGGAAGAGGAGGAGAGGAGATTGGAAGGATTTTAATATTACCTTATTTGAATTTATAAAAAGGGAGGAGAGGGGAGGAGTTTTAATGTTACCTTATTTGGTTCATGAAGGGAGGGGAAGAAAAATATTTTTACATGGACAATTTTACCCTTATTTTATTTAAGATTATTTTTTTTTTCAAATTTTATAGAGTGTTTAATAAAATAGAATTGTAAATAACATTCTTATACCGAAATTCTAATATACTCTAGAGCGTAAAGTATTATTGAAAAGAAGGCTGAAGTAATGTTTAGCCACAACTGGTCTTGTATCCCATCTTTGAATGAAATATTTGGTCAAGCAAATAAGCTCATTAGACGTGGAACCTTGTTTTCATCCATTTTATCTTTATGGCTACAAAGCTCTGAGGATTTAAATTTTGACATATAAATAATTTGTGTTAAAATTTAAATCCTCAAAACTTTATTATCGAACGGTCCATTTTATCTCTTCAAATTTCACATTTACATGCAAAGGAGAGAGCAGTATTTAGAGACAAGAAGAAAAGGATTTAGAGTCATATCGGGATATTGAAAATAAATATGAGCATAATGGTTATAACATGACAAAATATTAAAAAATTTTGGAGGGAGGTTAAGGAGGGGAGGGAAAGAAAAATTTTAAAAAATTTCCATCCCCTCTTGAAATTTTTATGTTGCCAAATAAGAGGAAATGATTAAAATTCTTCCTCCTCTTTCTCCTCCCCTCCCCTCCAAATCCTTCATACTAAACACGGCCTTATAGATCTCTCGCCAACAAGGTCTTCATATCGACAGTGAAATTTGAACTCACCATCTTGTGAGTTATGAGTTGATTCTTTATCAACTGGACTAACTCTTATTAGTAACTACGCACTTGTTGTTACTTCTAGGTCGTTTTATTGTTTCAGTTTCCATTAAAAAAAGTGGACCAAAAAAAAATCACATGTTTACTGTTGTGATGAGGCCCTTCAAAATTGCAGATTGAATACAAAGTGGCCCTTCCGGCACGCGTTTCATTGAGGCCTTATATTCTAAAATTTGGTGGGCCTTGTAGAACCCATAAGGGGAACAAGTCTGGGAATTATTCATCGGGGGACCCGAATTTTTAATTTTTCATTCAAAAAATACATGGAAGTTATTGTAATAATAACCGTAAGGAGATTGAGTCCAAAAAAAAAAAAAAACCGTAAGGAGATAGGGTGAATATTTTAATTATTAGCCTTCCATTGCAAGCAACAGAAAATTCATTGTCATCTGTAAACAACACAATATTTTAATACGAATTAGAAGCATTACATGAAGCCTCTGGAACACATGGGAAAATTCCAGCACCCTCTTTTATTTACCTTCGAAAATGAATCCCAGCTCTTCACCGTCAACACCCAAAAAAAAAAAAAATCATAACTCTCAGTTTGTCCTGGAACTTTCTTCGTCTCTCTACACTTTTCCTAAATGCTTCCATTCTCCTATTCATTCCACAAATGTATAGAATTCTCAGGAAACACATCACCTCTGTCCCTGTCATTCTTTCCATTTTCATATAAATCAGGTTCCCTCGGCTTTTTTCAGCTGCAAATCAACAACACGATTCCCAAGTGCTAGAGATCGCTGTTATATATCCTTCAATACTTCTTCTGAGCACCAGACCAGAATCCATAGAATATCAAATCCACGTAAGCTAACAAATGAAGCAACAGCCCCTTAACTTGTTTCCATTGATCCTGCTTTTTCTGGCTGCCTTTCCATTCAAAGCAAAAGGGTCTGTCCTGCCATTCATAGATCGTCCTGGAAGTCTTCTATCTGATCTCTGGTCAGATCCCTTCCCGGACCCATTTCGCGTGCTGGAGCAAATCCCGTTTGGGTTTGACAGAGATGAGACATCATCCATCGCTGTATCTCCAGCCAGAGTGGACTGGAAGGAGACACCAGAGAGACATGTGATAATGGTGGACGTGCCAGGGTTGAGGAAAGATGAGATAAAGATAGAAGTGGAGGAGAACAGAGTTTTGCGTGTGAGTGGAGAGAGGAAGAAGGAGGAGGAACAGAAAGGAGATCATTGGCACAGGGTGGAGAGGTCATTTGGCAAATTCTGGAGGCACTTCAAGTTGCCAGACAACGTGGATTTGGACTCTGTGAAGGCTAAGATGGAGAATGGTGTGCTTACTCTGACACTGGAAAAGTTGTCACCTGATAAGATTAAAGGTCCTAGGACCGTGAGCATTGCAGGAGAGGATGAGCAGCCTGCCAAACTTGAGAGTAGTGAGGCCAAGCAGGAGCTTTGAATCCTGAGCATGAGTGAACGATTGCTACTGATGTAGAGAAAGGCTTTCGAATTCTCTGTCAATAAAAGGGTTTCTGCTTGAGCAAGACTCCTTTTTCCGCCTTCTTTTCCTTTCTATGTATGGGTTACTTGATGTTTGGTGATGATGGGAATATGCAGCGTTGTACTGGCTTTACTGTAATCTCCTAGTGAATGTGGAGAAATTTTCTTAAATATGAATATCATGTCTTCTAGCCATTCAATTTCCTCTGTTACTTGAAGCACTTTCTCCAGTTGGGTAAAAGCAGCAGATAAGGGACGCCTTTTTATAATCTTTCTTCACCTTAGCATCTGAATATTGATCATGTTGATAAAATAATGACCTAGAGATATTATGATAACCAAACAACAACAACGAATATAAGTTCCATAGGTTCTAGGAATCTGCCCGAAGAGGAGATTAAGCTCAATAAAAGTAGACAAACTTTTCCCTTCAGCCGACGGTGAAACTTTTGCACTGCGTTTAACAATGGGGGGAAAGAATGTTAAATTCTACTTGATATGGGGTACATGAAAAGAGTATCCAGATTCACAAACCTGAGCAACACAAGCTAATCTTCTAATCAAGTCTTTAACTCTACCATTGATCATGATTACCTCTAAGGTCTGAGTATATTTTGCACTTCACTTGCATAAAAAACCTGATCATAAAAAAAAAAAAAAGACTAGAATAACAATCCGTCTAGATTTTGGTATCGTGATTATGGGCTGGGCTACAAGATGCTGAATCTCGAGTCTTGTTACACTACGGAGGCATGTGACTCTCGAATAAATGAGGTATCTTAAGCTTGATCAGGAGATAAGATCATAATCCAGATTTGCGAACGTACGACCCTAATTTTAGTACTTCCCTTCGTGTTTGATCGATCTTCACAACTGTAAAAGAAACAACGCATTGAATTCTTTGGCTGTGGGTGTATTCCTATCCTATCTAATTTTTGTCCCATTCAACCAAAAAAAAGAACAAACATCACTACCGACCTTTCTGTTGCCTTCTGTAATTAGTTTCGAATTTTGATTCTCGAGTCACATTTCCTTTCATACCACCATTGCAGGTGCAACATCAGTAATGTCCCCACTTTTCTCTCTTCACTTCTCTAGTTCTTCACATACAGTCAAAGATCTCAATAACTCGTTTGAAAGCATCAAGGTTGACTTTTTCGAAGTCCAATCTCCTTTCTTATTCTTGATCACCATCAGGCTGAACCATTAAAAGAGGCAGACATGATGTTGATACTTCCTTCTCTCCTTTGTTTACCTATTTCAAATCTGGCAAGGTCGATTTGTGAAGCATGTGGTTGTTAAGTAAGAATTATAGATCAACCATGACTTCGTTTCTAAAACCCCGCAGACTTTCCAAAATACTGTATATTTCTTCTGTTTTTGGATTTGATTTATCAAGGGAGTAGAACTGAGAAACTTGGTCATCAACCTCAATCCAGCTACAGCCTGGGATTTTGAAAGAATTTCGCTCCTTCAACGTTCTCCATACGTTGCGAGCTTCATCCCACTTTCCCAACTCCCCATATAAATTAGCCAACACTGCGCCATAACCTCCATTGTTTGGATCAATTTCAATTAATTTTTTGGCTGCTAATTCTGCCAAATCTGTACGGCCATGAATTTTGCATCCATTAAGCAAAGAACCCCAAATGACCTCATCAGGTTCCATGCCCATGCCCCTCACAACTTCCATTGCCGCATCAAATCTGCCTGCTCGGCCAAGAAGGTCTATCAAGCACCCATAGTGCTCAATCTGAGGCTCTATCCTGAATTTCTGAACCATCATCTCAAAATAGCAGTAACCTTTTTCCACTAATCCTCCATGAGTACAGGCATTTAGCAAACCAATGAAGGTGACCTCATCAGGCCTTACACACCCTCACCGCACTCCATCATTTGCTCAAAAATGGCAATTGCGCTATCACTTTGCCCGTGAAGCGCAAAAGAATTAATCATTGAATTCCATGATGTTAGGCCTTTTTCCGGATTCATCTCAAAAACCTTTCTTGCCTGTTCAAGGTTTCCACATTTCCCATACATATCCACAAGAGCATTTGATGTAAACGAGTCAAGAACAAACCCATTTTTATATAGGTAACCATGTATCCATTTTCCAAGCTGAAGCATCCCAGTGTGGCCACATGCTGAAAGTGCACAGACAACTGTAACTTGGTTTGGCTTCACATGTTTTGAAATTGTAACTCCTTCTCCATAGCCAGATTAACCAAACCTCAGGGCACGACTTCAAACGTGAGGTAGATAAACTGGCTGGGTTGGGATTTCGTCGGCGAACCATGTCGCGGAACAACGTGAAGGCAGAGACGTAATCAGGTTGAGAAGCATAGGCGGTGATCATGGCTGTGTACAGATAAGCGTTGGGTGGTTTGAGGTGATGAAGATAAGGCGAGCGTAATGGAGATTGGAAAGAGAGAGAGAGTACAGAAACGGACGAGCTTAAAAGCGTAGAACTGAGTTTGGGCATGGCCAGCGACGGTGAGGTGAGGTAGCCTTGGAGCTGCTTGAGATGACCAAGATGGTTGCTTTTTGCAAGGAGTGACAAGACATGCTCATTCAGATTCATATGATCATGCATCATCGTTCAGTACTCAGTAGCCAGTGAGAGTGATACACACAGAAATCGCATATGGTGATCACGTTAAGGAACATGCGATACTACGAAAACAGGACACCAACTGCAAAACAAACTGACGTACGTTGTAGGATGAAGATGAAAAGGACAGTGAGGGGAGTAGGTGGGATCGGTAATTAGTTGGTCCCAACAGACTCGTTAGGACGAAGCAAGTGTTGAGGTTCTGGGCCTGGTTTACAAATTTTTATTTGCTCCGGAATCTTCATCATTTTTTAGAGAGAATTACAGTGAGATCCAAAAAAAATATATTACAAAATAAGTATTAAAAGTTGTCATTTTCTATTTTAGAACTTGTTACTCCCTCTGTTCTTTATTATAAGAGACAAATAACCAAATTACGTTAATAAAAAAAACAGTTAAAATTAGTTGAGGACAATTAATGTGTAAAAAGTATAATGTTTTTTTCAATAATACCCCCATTAATAAGGAGAGAGTATGAGAGAAACAATTAAATTATTAAAAGAAAGAGAAGTGGGAGGGAGAGAGAGTATGAGTTGAAGACAAAATAAATAAGAGTAAAATAGAAAATCAATACAAAAAATATAGAGACAACTTTTAAGTGTCTCTTATATATAGGAACATACCATAAGCATCAAATGTCTCTTATAATAAGGAACGGAGGGAGTATTATAGATTGCTCAGGTTGTTATTAGACCTCTTAGTAATTATTTCTCTTGCATGGGACTTGATTGTAATTCTCTTTTTTTTTTATTCCACATGATTTGGATTGCAAAAAAATAAAGGAAAAAAATTGAGAATTTTTGTTATTAAAAATTTTATTTGTAAGAAGAATTAAATTAGAATACCAATATTTAATGTGTGCTTGATAATTTTTTATGTATAAAAATTTATCAAATTTCTTATTAAATAAAATTTTTAATGGCAACTTTGTTCTAATTTTTCTATTAATGTCATAAGGGTGTGTTATATGAGAAAAATAAAGATAATTTTTAAATGATTAATTTTCTTATGAATTAATTGTTAGTTGACGTTGGCAAAAAAATTTTAGTTGACGCGGGAGGAGTATTACTTTTTTTTCCTGCCAACTGCATATTACGTTTTAAATTAATAATCAATAACCAAAATTTACCTAAAATGATTTTTTGGCCAACTGTTTTTTTTTCTTGCCACCTTTTTACCAACCACCTAAATGATTTGTCTCATTATCCCTTGTATTATTAGATGATTCCATGGTAGTTGAGCTTGCCATTACATTTTTCATTCATGTAAAAACTAAAAATTGCATATGAAAAAAAATGGTACTCCTCCTGTCCTTAATATAAGACCCAATTATTGAGTTGGTTTTTGTCTTAAATATAAGAGTTATTTTTCATATTTATTAGTTTTCTCTAAATTACCCTTATGGATACTTCTTAAACCATAATTAAGTAGAAAAGGAAGATGAGGTATTAAGAAAGAAAGATTATAGTATTTTAGAAAAAACGTATCAAATAAAAAAACGTATCAAATTTCTTATAATTAACTAACTTACCTAATTTTCTTAATCTAATCAAATTAGTTAAATGGGTCTTATATTAAGGACACGAGGAGTATACAGATACGGTTAAAACTGTCAAGATGAGAAAGTGCCCGTACGCTGCATAACCGCATTCGAAGGATGAGTTACTAACCCACGATGTCTTGGTTTAGCGGTAGTGTGCTTGCGTGAGTTTGTCAGTTTCCTTTTCCTAGTTTCTTCTACGAGAAAATCTCACTTTATCTTTGTTGCTTAATCCTCTCCCACCCAAGTTTTCCTCTGCTTTCTCTCGTTTTTTTTATTCTATCCAATCCTAAAATTCAGATTCAGAATATAAATAATAACATCGCTACTCTTGAATCACGCATACAGATCGATAAAGATATTCTCTTTTCACTTGTTACCTTGTCATTTCTTCATTGGGTCAATCCAGTCGGATCTCAATTCTCATCAGACGAGACACTAGTGTAGAGAGCTCAATTCCTGTGTCATTCATCGCCTCTCGTTGTTTGCTTATTGTGGAATTTACTACTTCTCTGTCTTTTCGGGTGAATTCTCTATGTCTCGGATTTTCTCTAGATGGAAGAACGTGAAAGAGATGGCGATGATTTCTTCTGCAGAGACTCAGTTCGCTGTTTCTGCAAGAAGTGGTCATAAATGGACGAGCTTCAATTTTCGACTCAATCAGGTTTGCCCAATCTCGACTCACTTAAACTATTTTCCCATCGCCACCCCTAGACGACGGGAATCCTTCATCAACGTTCAGGAGCGGTACAAGTGGGATCACGGTGGCTCCGGCGATACTCGCCATCGGAATTCCCAGGCCCGAAAGATTCGAGCCGATGCTAATTGCCCACGGTGCGCCAGGAACATGGATGTATTTTTCTCCAATCGCCATTTTCCCAGTTCTACTTCTGATTCCAATTTGATTCCTTCGGTTCCTCTTCATGAAGAAGGAGGTTATCAAACTATGAATCTCTGCCCCAATTGTAAAAACAGCTTATTTCTTCCGCCCTTTTGAAACTGCTCCTATCCAAGGGACATTTGTGGAGATTGGTCGGGTCTTAGATAATAAAGTTAATAATACTAGTAGTACGGGAATCCTTCATCAACGTTCAGGAGCGGTACAAGTGGGATCACGGTGGCTCCGGCGATACTCGCCATCGGAATTCCCAGGCCCGAAAGATTCGAGCCGATGCTAATTGCCCACGGTGCGCCAGGAACATGGATGTATTTTTCTCCAATCGCCATTTTCCCAGTTCTACTTCTGATTCCAATTTGATTCCTTCGGTTCCTCTTCATGAAGAAGGAGGTTATCAAACTATGAATCTCTGCCCCAATTGTAAAACAGCTTATTTCTTCCGCCCTTTTGAAACTGCTCCTATCCAAGGGACATTTGTGGAGATTGGTCGGGTCTTAGATAATAAAGTTAATAATACTAGTAGTAAATTGCAGAAGAGGATATCCAATGGCAAAGTCAAAGATGACAGAGAAACTAATAATAGCCATGGCAGTAGTAACGGTTTGGCAGAAGATTATGGCCATAGAAGTAACAGCAGTAATGGCTTAGAGCGACATTCTGGCATACCTTACGATCCTATAGTGATGGAGATGGTGGAGAACCGCCAGAAACTTGGTCTCCCCCACCTGGTTCTTCTAATGGGAATGGGATTGCTGTGCATACTCCTCCAGGTCCGCCTTTTGCACCTGGTGTTAATGTTGTTCGGGCTTCAGGACCACGGGAGGGTGGTTCAAGTGGTGGAGGTGGCGGTAATGGCGAAAAGACAACATGGGGAGGGTCCAATTTGGGTAAGGATTTACCCACACCAAAGGAGATCTGCAAGGGTCTCGATAAGTTTGTTATTGGCCAGGACAGAGCCAAAAAGGTATCCTATAATTCAAATTCACTATCAAATTTAGTCCAACTTCAAGTTGATGCTTATTAGTTCAGTATGTTAATGATTTTTGTATACCTTTTTATTTAGAAGATGCGATAATGGATCATTTTGGTCCTGTAGTGTTATATTCGATGTCCTTTTAAATGTTTTGAGTTACGAACTTTGAGAATGATCTTATGGATGATTTATGTTTATGTTGAAGGTGCTTTCTGTAGCTGTGTATAATCACTATAAAAGAATACACCATGCCTCGTTACAGAAAGGGTTAGTTAAATTATTGTCCCCTTTTTTGTATTAATTTGTGTTCCTTTGTATTATGTAGTTCTGTAATTGATGCAAATTAGTTCTCATCCCTTCTCTTCATTCTTATTTAATTTCATTGAGTTTGCAATTGTCCGTGTATCTTTATACAATTGTTTGAGGGATTTTTTTAAAAAAAATAAATTCTTATCCTCTATTCTTTTTAGATATGTATTTGTTATGAGCCTATGACTGAATTGGTGGATTTTAATACTAGGTCAGGGGCAGATTCAGCAGCAAATCCAAAAGCTCTAGATGATGATGATGATAATGTGGAGCTAGACAAGAGTAATGTTCTCCTGATGGGTCCAACAGGGTCAGGTAGGACTTGCAAAAAGAATTTGTGACTACTTTTATCTTCGTATGTAAGAGATAAGAACATGATGCATCCTCATGTGGGATTACAATGTAATGGCTATGCTAATTTAACGTAATCTTCATTAAACAGGGAAGACATTGCTGGCAAAAACTCTAGCTCGATTTGTGAACGTTCCATTTGTCATTGCTGATGCAACAACCTTAACACAGGCAAGTATTTTCATATTGATGAGATGATATTATAACTTGGTGGAATCAAATATAACCAAGATTGTTAATACTGATCGAACCATTTGCCATTTGAGTAATATATATTTGTTTGGTATGATTTACTAATACTTATCAAAATTCACTTCCAAATGAAAATCAGTGTATTTGATATTGATAATGATGATTACGTATTTGGTTTCATGGATGTCAAGGTTTGCAGTTTCTGGAAATTTTGTTGTTATTGACTCCTTATAAACTGAAAAATGAAAATGTTCTTAAATGCAGGCTGGTTATGTGGGAGAAGATGTCGAATCAATATTGTATAAACTACTCGTGGTATGTCAAATTGTTTTCCTGAATTACTTGTGCCTTTGTTGACTGTTTAATTTCTCTCTGCCTGCCCAGCTCAGACAATGATCTACACACTACACTTAGTTATTTACTTGTATTGATTAATTGAAAGTTAGAACAACGTTGATGTGATTGTTCTCATTCAATGCCTTTGTATATTTTACTTTGCTCTCTTATAATGGCAACAATGTGCCCTGGATATTAAGTAGTTAGCTTCTAAATGTCCATCCACTGCTCCAGATGCATACAGAATGCTAAGGACTTAGTATGTGCATAAAGATGCCTTCTCCATTAGCATGGCTGTCACTAAAGTTTCCTTGGGCTCAGTAAGAGAGAATTTGCCATAGGTCTTTCAATACGGATGAGGTCCTCAGTCCCCAAAATAATGGCTGTGGGCCAAGCATCCTCCTTTATGTTGTCCATTGTTTTGGTACCTGAGATGTGGTTCTTGGCTCATTCTCCCCATGTGCTAAGGTGAATAGTTGTTCAGCCTTAAATCCCCTAGAAGCGAGATGGTACTCAGATGCCTGATACATGATTACCCTTGGAATGATCAATTCTGGAGGATTGGGATAAAGGTAGCTTCATGAGGGAAATGACCTCTTCATGAGTAATGATTACTTCAGAGAAATACAACTAAGTGCATCTTTACTATTTATTCTACTTCTTGAAACCCAAACTTGTACCTCTTTATGGATATCTTCCCCATGTCGTATGGTCAGTGTTATTTCCCTAAAATCAGCAAAAGTGAAGATTCCCCCTTTTTTGGGGGATGGTGGAGGGGGTCTTAGCTGATCACATCCAAATCTGTAACTATTGAGGCTAGCATTAGGCAGGGTGATGCCTCGTACTTGGCTACTTGCTAGCACTAAGCTCTCTTGTTGCTCCCTTTTTGTATGGTATGATTTTTTTAGTTTCAATTTCTTTTTTTCTTTTGGAATTCTTGTCACATTGTTCTCTCATTACATTGTGTCTTAGATATTATGATATAGGATATCAGTGCAAAAGATACCATAAAGAAGAACATTGCTCATGTAATAGTAACTATGCTGCAAGTGGTGTAGTGCCAGATTCCCATAGTTTTTTGTGTGGTATGAGATACTCCAACCCCTCTTTTGTCTCCATCACTGATATTATTCTTTATATATGTGATGATTGACACATCCTGATTGATTTTCTGATATGTTGAATGACACCACCATCCTTGATACTGATCTAAGCATCTTGTATGCCACCGAGCCTCCGAGATATCCATCTAAGTCAAGATGATAATTTACCTAATTCCTTTTTAACATCGATGAAGATTGGAGTATTTCTGTTCTTTTATCTTTTTTTCTTTGGATAAAGGTTGAAGTATTTTCTTTGCATTTAATTTCTTTTATATTTTATATGTTTTTTTTTTAATTTTTTTCTGAAATTATCTTGAAAGATGTCAATTTATGGTGGTTCTACTTGCCAGCATATTTCTACATAAATTTAATATCTGTACCGGTCAATTTTGCAATGTAGGCAGCTGAGTTCAATGTTCAAGCCGCTCAGCAAGGGATAGTTTACATTGACGAAGTTGACAAGATAACTAAGAAGGTTTCATGCTTATTTGATTGGATAAAAGCACCGTTGTACATCCATTCTATATCTTTTAATTGTTATGGGTGTATTACAGGCTGAAAGCTTAAATATTAGTCGGGATGTTTCTGGCGAGGGTGTTCAGCAGGCACTACTGAAAATGTTGGAAGGAACAGTAAGTAAATTAATTCCAGACTGTAGTTGTTACTGATCGGGATATCTGCCTTTTAATTGAAATATGGTAAATTAACTTATTTCTTACATTTTCCTCACCTAGCAGCGCTTATAATCATGTACACAAGAATGTTGTTGCTTTTATATGCTGGGTCTGAAATGTCAATTATTTAGACTAGATAAGATTTGTGGTGGGTCCTGGTTTTTTTTTTTTTTTTTTAAAAAAATATTTTAGACTGAGATTCATGGCGGGTCTGTCTTTATTAGCCATCATACAATTGTATGTGATTTTAGTTTGCAGATACTTGCTCTGATAATCAATTAAGTAATATTGTTTTTATGAGGTGCTTATATTTGTTCTCATATCATTTCCATTTTCCTCCAAACAAAGATTATTTTTTCTGATAAATATTTTGAAAAGATATTCTATTTTGAAAAACAGAAGCCTAAACTTGGGGTGATATCTTATTGTCTAGATAGTGAATGTTCCGGAAAAAGGTGCAAGGAAGCATCCACGGGGTGATAACATACAGGTATGTGTTTTTGAAAGAGTATCCATTTTCTTCTCCCTTTTCATTTCACTGCTTGTTTATACATGGCTTTGATTGGAAGAACATTACTCATAAATAGCCCCTTGTTGGCTGCAGTTTTGAATCATGATGTTTATTGGAAATATGTAGATCTATAAAGTAATTAATCTTTCCTTTCGTATTGCAAAAAATAAGGAAACGCATAGAGGCACTTGCAGTCAATTAATTGGTTGATCAACACAAATGAACTTATGAATGCATTTGGGAGGGTGCAGGAAAATTTCTATTTCTGTCTTGAAAGTTCTATCCAGTGACGAGTAGTTATGTACGGATTTCTTTATTAGAGACTTGAAACAGAAGTCTTGGAATAGTAATCATGATTTTATGTTCTTTAACATGCCTGCAAAATCCATCCATCATAATGTTTTAGAGCATTAAGAAATCTCGTTAAAGTATATCATGCAGCAACTCATTTTTATGAGCATTATTTTTATATGCAGATTGACACAAAGGATATTCTTTTTATATGTGGCGGAGCATTCGTTGATCTTGAAAAAACAATATCAGAGAGGTAAGTGTTTTGCCTTTGCATTTCCAAGAATATTTGTTTCGATTGTGTCTTGATTTCTGTCAGAATATTTTTTGACATTATCTGTGAAATAAACCAGACGACAAGATTCTTCTATTGGTTTTGGAGCTCCAGTTCGAGCAAATATGAGAACCAATAAAGTAATAAATATTGAAATAACATCAGCATTACTTGAGTCGGTAAGGATTAAAATATCTTAACTTATTTTGGTTATCCTGATTTCATAAATAAATATTTGAAGCATGTAAGGCTCACATTTCATGCAGTGAGTTACTATGATGCTTTGCACTATTTTCTTTCCCTTCTTGTCCCAAGAAAATACAGAAGTAAAAGAATAGAATTTATGTAAATGATAACCTCCAAAGTTACCTAAAATCTGCATTAGCTATTTTCAGGTGGAGAGTTCTGATCTTATTGCATATGGTCTCATACCTGAGTTTATTGGACGGTTTCCGATCCTAGTTAGTTTATCCGCCTTAACAGAAGATCAACTTGTGCAGGTATTCCTTTGTTTTTGAAAGATATATTCATATGATCCAAGCTTTGTATATTTTCTCAAAAAAATTAGTCCCGGGATTAACTCTGCTTGTATGGTTGCCCTGACAATAACCTATATATGATGTCTTTACGGCCTTTTAGCTGGTTAAAGGCATTGACTTTCTGTGATCATCTCTCTTTTCAATATTAAGGATATTATATATAATAGAAGAGTTAAATTGTAAGACGGCCATTGCCTTTTGAATCCTGGAAAAGATCATCCACGTCTTCCCCATGATTTTTTTTTCCGGCACAATAAAATATAAGAAGAGAATAAAATAGCAAATGTTTGATACTTGGTTGATGGAGAGCAAAAGTGACAAGAATTTTTTTTTAATGAGAAGCAAGAAATTTAAATAAGAGAGAAGGGGTCAAAAAGTAATTAAGTTTAACTAATAGATACGGAATATTTAATTTTACATGAAAATGGGCAAGCCAAGACTTGAGGAAAGAGTTAAAGTTCTTCTAGATCATGTACATATATCTCATCATTATATTTATAGAAATGTCATTGGCTTTACAGGTCCTCACAGAGCCAAAGAATGCTCTTGGTAAGCAGTACAAGAAATTAATTGGAATGAATAATGTAAGTATCTCTTGACAGTCTGTGTATCTGCATGCCCTCTTCTGTGCTTCTCCTTCCTCCAATCTCAGCCATTCAAACATATGCTTATTTGCTTTTGATTTCCTCACGATTCACCCATTCATTTTTGAGTGAGGGTCAACAGTGAGCAGCAAGATGCTCGGCATAAATGAATTTCTCTACCTGTGTGATTCAGGTTAAGCTTCATTTCACGGAGAAGGCACTGAGATTGATTGCACAGAAAGCAATGGCCAAGAACACTGGCGCCAGGGGTTTAAGAGCTATACTGGAAAGCATCCTAACTGATGCCATGTTTGAGGTTTGGAAGTTTTTTTTTGTTTTTTTCCAAGTCCTGCTTAGCTCAAGCCTCTTAAAGAATATCAGCCTTTCTGGTTCTCTATTGACACATTTAATGCTTACATGGACCAGATTCCAGATGTTAAGACTGGAAGTGATCGGATTGATGCAGTAGTTATCAATGAAGAGTCAGTGGGATCAGTAGATGCTCCAGGATGTGGTGGCAAAATTCTTCGTGGTCGTGGTGCTTTGGAGGCTTACCTTGCAAAGATGAAGGACTCAGTGGTATGATTCTCTACCTAATTGTCATTTGCTGATTTATAACTCACTAGATCACAGGATTGCAAGATTTCATAATATTGATCAAGTCCATTTTTGTGCAGATCAACGGTGAGGTAGCGGAAACAGATGTACAAGATGGGGAAACGGAGAGAGCCATGAGCATGTGAAGATGATATATTTATGCTAGTGAAGAAGTATAAATAATTTATCTAGTCATTGTTGTTATCTTGTAAAGATCACAGACATAATTTGCTGTAATTATTCCTTGCATGACAGCATAGCTTCTTTCGAGTTTCTTGGATAGGAAGGAAATAGAAAGGTAAGAAAGATGTACCATTGCTAACTTAGCCAGCACTTCACACCACCAAAGAAAAAAAAAGCACAGTTAAGGAGGTCTAAGCAAATAATATTTTTCCCCTTTCCTTTTTTCACTATGTATGTAGCTGTCTGTTGATAAACGTCAACCAATATTTCACCGGCAACTTGGATGGGCAATTTATTTCTTTTTAAGGCTCTGTTAACAAAGGATAAATCGATTAGAAAGTTTAGGTGTGCTTAACCCTTTTCACGGAATTTATATCTTGGTTTCTCTCCACGGAATTTATATCGTTTCATGCTGGATACACTTTCTTTCTCAATGCCACAATGTCATCCAGTGGCTGTCAGCGCCACATTTAGACCTTTTTTTTTTTAAATGTTTCTATTCTAAGATGTCGAACATTTTAAGAAAATCAAAGGTAGAAAGAAAATAAGGTTAGTATAAATATGTTTTCAAAGATTAAAACAATAGGCTCAACCTTAAAATGATATCTAAAACGCGCAGATCTAATTTAAGCAGTCACGGGTTTACATTTTTATTTTTATTTTTAATTTTAAAACAGTTTTTTTTTTATCCAGGCAAAAAAAAACAGTTTTTTATTAAAAAAATAAAATATCAATTGAAAGATCCATGAGGAGTCCGGATTGCTCCTGTTTCATTTTTACTTCGACCAATCACACAGCAAATGATCATCCCAGAATCATTTCAACATACGTGACTTCCATTGGGATCATGTTAAAAGGTACATTCTTATATCAACCAGTAACTTCAGCCACAGAAAGCAATCATTTTATCAAGTACAGAATGATCCAGCCATTACCGTCAAAGGCTTTCTTAATATGGAAGCACTAATTAATTTTCCTTTTCCAAGTGGTAGTGTTTCTTCACAGCTTCAATCACTTCCCAAGTGATGTTCATTCCTTTAGGGAAGACGACCAAGTCGCCACCCCCAATTTCAAAAGAGCCATCATCTCCATGTCCATCAACTGTGACCTTCACTTTTCCCTTCAGCAGATACATGGTCTCTTTAGCTTTGAACGACCATGGGATTTTGGTCGGACCGCCTTCCCACCTATTGAGTGTGAAAAAAGGGGATGAAAATGAGAGAAAAGCCAACAGAAAATATCAAAATGCACATATAAATTCAAGTTTGTCGTAACTTGAATGATTAAGTTATGTCTTCTTTGTCTTCTTTTCTGCACTGATGAACATTTTACAGTTGCAATATCAAGAATCAGAATAAATCAATGTATCTGATTCTGGATACATCGCTGCGTTAGTGATTAACTCTTGTAACATGCCTAAGTATTCAATAAATATTCTTTCTTCACATCAGTAGAAGAAATCAATCAATTGATGGGGAAATTTAAGAAAACTGAGCACTCCTTAAATCTCAACCTCTGGTGAAAGATGATATAATGAAACAAAAAAATGTAAGCCAGCACCAAACAGGAAACAAAACTAAAACTACTCTAGCTGGGAAAAAAACTCGTAACATAAACCATTTTTACTCAATATTTTTGTAACCTTCAACGGTTGGGAAAAAAAATGAAACAAAGTAATGCTATCTCCTGTCCTAATTATAAGATATATTTAACTAATTTAAAGAGATTAAAAAAATTAGTTAAATTAGTTATTTGTAATAAATAGATATTGCCTATAGTTAATCAATTTATTGGCTACTATTATTAGAGGGACTACTATAAATATGAGAGACAAAGTGAGAGGAGGGGAGGGAAGTAGTAAGCAATTTGACTGAGCCTCTCCAGCCGTCCGTACGACGGGAGAGAATACTTAGGCCAGCAATCTAGACCAACCTCTCACCACTTCGATCAGTATCCAAGCCATGCCTGAATTGGCTAAAGCCTAAACTTAAACATAATCTTTCTCAATAAGCCCAACACACAAAAGAAAGCCCTATCAGTCGTGTCAAAACCCTTCATGCAGACGAAACGAAAACATTCGGCAGCAAAAGTAAAGTAACCAGAATCAGAACAAACTAACAAAAGCCGAATAAGCCAAAAAAGGAGTGGGAAAGAAGGGTGAAAGAAGCATACGTGGACCAAGTTGAGACTCTAAGCTCAATGAGTTTAGATTGAGGAGGATTCTTCTCAATCTTCACTCCCAAAATCTCAGTAGTTACCGAAGCAGTTTCCTCCTTTGGAATGAGGGTGACGAAGAGGAAAGAATAAAGCAACGGAATTAAGGGTAGTAACAGTGAAAGACGCAGCAAAAGGGAATGATTTGCATAAAGGCGTCTCATTGCCTTCCACATTTCAGCTTCACTTTGGTGATTCTTTTGTTCTGCGCCTCTCTACGACTGAGCCCGGACGCTGATGAGTTGACCACAGTCCCGAAGCAATAATGACTCTTGGCATCCTTTTCTTTCTTTTCTTTTTTCTTTGCCACAAACTTTTTGCATACTGTATTATTATTACTTATTACTCTGGTTTTTAATATAAAGCTTATATAATTAGTTTTATTAGACTAAATGAAGTAAGTTAGTTAATTATAATAAATATGAAATGTTTTTTGTAAAATACTTTAATTATTTTTTTAATATCTTTTTTTTCTTATTTATTTGATTATGATTGAAGGAGTATCTATAAGGATAATTTTAAAAAAAATTAATAAATATAATAAACAAGTATTACATTTAAGATTAAAATTAAATTAATAATTAGGTGTAATATTAAAAACCAGAGAAGTATTAAATAAATTACTTGTTTACTAAGCCATTAGAATAAGCGTTTCAAAATTTTGTATTGCCCCCAAAAAATCATTCTACATTCCGGCGTGCGAAATATAGACAAAAGTGGGAGCATATTACATGTTTCACCTATGAAGGCTTTTAGTTGTTATTAGTTACGGTTTTTCAAATTACACAAAATTTTAAAAATAAATTATATAGTTCATAATTTGTAACTACGCATATTCCTTAGTTATTAAAAGAAAACTTAATCAGAAAAACAAAACCCAAAGAATACATCCACATTTCAGACATACTAACAACTAGCTCTTGAAGTGGCATACATAACACAACATGAACACAATCATGCAATCAGTTTTGCTTCATCAGCTTCAGGAATTACAATGTCAAGTCTCATCATGGGTTTGTACCCATCAGGAATCTTTGCCCCAGCTTGCATGCACACTTCAACCACAGCCGGGGCCTTGCCGTAGAATCTTTTCAGAGAACCACTCAAGGGGGGTCCTGAAGGATCTCTCACATGCCATACATAGTTTGGAGGAAAAACTTCCTCCACTGTTGCATCTTGCCAACCATGTTTCCCATCCCTCCATTGATGTTTGAATGCTCCACAAAGCTTGGCATTGTGACCCCATGGCCCCACATGAACCTCTGAACAATATCCACATGCCTTAACTGAGTATTTCTTCATCAAAGTCCTTACTCCCTTTCTGACAGTTTCATATGCCTCGATTGTTTCCTGGGCGATTCTAGGTATGTCTGACGATTGTGGGGGTGGAAATCGGTCACAGGCTTGGTAAGTATCGAAGTCAATAAGTGCAGAGGGATCTGCTGAGCGCCATGGCTTAGGTTCTTCAACATACCCACCTCTGTCAATAACTCTTTTCCCTAGCATTCTTATAGGGTTAGTCCTTCGACGTGAAGGGTACTCCAGTATGTCCACACCAGCTTGAATGCATAGCTCCACAACTGCTGGAATCCGGTCATAATCAAACCGCGTCTCGTGCTTGATGCGCCGGCCAAAAGGATCATAGAGATGATAAGACTCAACAGGGATTAGTATATCATTGATGGAACCCTTCACCCATGCGTGGAAACTATGACGCTGCGCACTGGTAGGACCAAGGCAATCCTGGATGTGGTGAACTGAGCGGCCCACATGAACTTCAGAACATTCACTGCATGAAACATTGGCTTAAATCATAAACTTTTACATTGAAATTATAGTTATTTGACTGAACTATCATCATTAAAAATAAGAAAAGAAAAGGCAAGCACTAGGACGCCAGACAGAAGTGTGGAAATGTACACAGTCTACCTACAGCCATGCACAGGAATAACGTGCAAGAGCTGCCCAAGACCCTTAATTAGCAGTTTCCAAGCATCAAATACTTCATAGGCAACAGGAATTAGGTCTGGCACAAGCAATCCATTCTTTGGAGGATCAAGGGGCTTCTCTATTCCCATTTCTGCAAGTTTTTTGTCTTCCCTTGCAGCTTGTTTGATCTCCTTAATGGGAATAGGGTATGGTTTTTTTTCTTTTTCTTGGGCAACACCGGCGGGAAATCAACATTTTGGGGTATCCTTCTTCTTTCCACAGCTTTATCACCTCTGGCCTTCTGACTGGCACATAGAAAACTTCCAGGTTGTGTCAATTCAACCTTGTAAATTTTTTCACATCCTAACTGCAATAGAGATGAATACCAAGTTTAAGTTCCGTGGTGGGGGACAATAACAGTTTCAGTTTCAACAAAGCTGTTGGAAAGATAGACTGAGGGATGATGATAAATATGAAGACTTGAATAACTTTCGATGAGATGAGAGGAAGGCTAAGAATTTTTCCAGCAAATCATTGGTTTATTAATATCAGGAGTAATGTCATTATATTACTTTTCAGAATAAATAAGATTGCAGTCAGAGAAGATAAAAAATATTCTATCAACTTCTAGTTCTTCTTTTCTTCCTTCATGTAGAAATGGCATTTTGATTGTAACACAAGCTAATGAAGGGCTCACCAGGAGAATGTCTTGAAAACTTACACTAGGTAACACTAAGGAATTCAAAAATAAGGATGAATGGGTAAAAAAAATATAGTTGCAATGCACCACTAAAAATTTCAACTTTCTGTACCCCCAAAGAATTCCAACATTTTAAGATGAATTCCTTTCTTAATCAGATGTATTTTATCACCCTTCCTAAGTTGCCTCAAATTTAACGCTAGAAAGGGTGCGGGTCTTGTTTTAAAGGTTCCATGAATCTAAAAAACGCTTCTTTTTTTTTTTTAATCAATAAAAAGCATCACTTTTATGAATCATAAATTTAGCACTATTAATCTGTATCACATCAGATTAATAATGAAATAGAAAATGTAGTACTGAGATGAGATTACAGCAACTCAATTAAGCACCCTGAAGATGGCAACTTTTAGAACCTTTATCAGTCGCACAATAGAAAGTGAGCCAAAATCCTTAACCAGGGAGGCTGACTAATGTCATTAGCAGTAGTAACTTTAACAGAAGTAACTCATTTAAGAAAATTTTAAATGAAAAGGCACAAAAACCTTCAATCCAAGAGTATATGACTCAGAAGCTGAAAGTTGCGGCCTCAAAAACTCCATGCCTGGGCAATCATCTGCACATTGAATGTCTCATCACAAGAAGTAACACGGTAGGTAAAGAAGGCACAAGCTTTTGGCATTTCTATCCTGAAGTAGGGGACATAACAATTATAATAGTTTGGGCAGAGTCACCAGAGGAGAGAGACTCTAACTTAAAGAGCACAGGGCAACAATTACGTTCTGATGTATAGTTCAATACTGGCTTTGGGTCAGTTTAAGAAAAGGAATATATACTTCCACGTTTCTTTTCTCATTGTTCTACCAATGTTTGAGGTGTGAGGGGAATGGTGAATGAATCACTTGCCAAAGAAGCATGTGCTAGTCAAGAATGATGGGAATTCAACTAAAAAGCTGATAACCACGCCAGCAAGGGAAAACATCACAAAGTTGCTATGGTATAGTATACTGTACGAAAGAATCTGACCACGGATTAACTAGTTCAACAAAATTATTGCTTCGTTCTCTATAGTCTGTAGAAGACCCAAAAGAAAAATTACTATTGTTGAGCATGAAATAATAATGCAGGACAAATCTTATATAGCCTTTATATTGAGAAAGCTTACAAAACAATCTTTACAAAATTAAGATTCTCAGCAAGATAAAGCCCTTTAAGATTTCATCCCAAACATCTACCCTTCTACTGAAATGGTACATTATAATTAACTTGAAGTGTTGCAAGACTATAGACAAATCTCACAGTATTGGCAACAATGAATAAGAGCATAGTAGCACGTTCAGTTTTTCTGCACATTAAATTATATTGGTCTGCTGGGCACTGAAACTCAAGTTGTTTCTTAGCCACATCAACTAAAACCTCTAACAATATGAAAGGAAAAACTAACTCACTCTTATAAGATAAATTCCATAATGAAGAAGAAACTACCGGCGGTCTCTGGATCATCTATAATCGTATCCTGTTAAGTGAATCTTCAGTAGGCAAAAAATGTCAATTACAAAGAAAACAACCTGAATTCTCAAATACGAATATAATTATAAGCACCAACTGCAAAAGCCATGCATGGTATGATGGAAAAACACAGAATCGAGGAACAGAAGGAACCAGCCAACCAGTTTTCATTTGGTCACCATTTGTAAGTAAAAAGTAAAAAATAAATAGCATAAAGAGGTCATACAAAAAATGGGGAAAACCTTTTTAAGGTATTAAGACACAAGTACTTGAATAGTCATGTGCACGCGTGTGTGACCAATCCCATCCCCTTTTCCCCTGTATCTTTGCTTCAGCCTTGAAAAAACATAGTGATGATTCATTTTTTCATGGATTAGACTTATACCCGAGCATTTGGTGTGCATTATGCGAACTGCTTGCAACAAAACTCATATATATTCTCAACCAAGAATAGCACCAAGCGAATGCACTGCTTCATGCACAACCTAAGAATTTACCAGGAACCCCCTACAATTCCTTTATATAGCACGGATAATCTTCACTCGGCATAGTAATTCATCAAAAGCCCCGGTTTTTACGAACAATTAAAATACAATATTTAAAACAAGTAGGGGAGGAGAGAGAACAGAACTTGTGCTACAAGAGTAGACTAAGTCCAGTGAGGAAGAAGTGTAAGGTGAGATTATGTTGGCAATATTGCGAATGCAGAAACTGCAATGAAACCCTTCGATAATTGCAGCTGGTTGCTCCTGGCTAAACCCCTTCTTCTTCAATCACCGCCCAGAAACAAACAGCAACTTCTTGAACATTGGCGGCCAAATCGTCTGCACGTCGGGGTAGAAGAGCACACCCGCCTGCGGCTCTTAAGTTCTAATCTCAGCCGTTGGCTCTTAAACGCCTGAGATAATGCCACGTAATAACCAAATATCTGCCTTTTATTGCAGACAGATGGCATTCCTGCCCATTTTGTTTTCAGATAACGTTTGTGTTTCGGCCACGTATTGTAGAGTTTTTGATAGATTTGTTGAAAAAAAAAAAACATTAGTGTAAACAATTTTAATAAAAAAAATTCAAACTGAAAAATTCTCAAGCAAAAAAGGCGTTAACAAATCAAATTCCCCGTCATCTTTGCTTTGTCCCAAAACTGCTAAAGATGATAAACGAGTGATCCAAACTAAAAAAGCATGGCTCTGGCCCAAAATTTTTTTTAAAAAAAAAAACATATTTAGACAAAATTTGTCCATGATGATTGTTCGGAGATGTGATTATGTGAATCTGAGCCCAAGTTCCCAGAAGCTTCTGGCTTTGCTGCCATGGCCTATGTGGGTATGCGTCCCCACATAATATGCATTTGCATGCAGGAAGATAAGATTCGTACAGCACTGAAAGATGATCGTAGTTTCCCAGCGCCGGAATTGGATGATAAAACCTTCAAATTCGGTGGTTCAACGCAACTGTTAAGACTCCATCAATACAACACAAAGGTCTGAACTGGTGACTTCTCTGGTGGGGAGGTAAATGTGTGAAAATTTCCCCCCCATCCTGTCATTTTAGTGAAGAAAACTCAATGGATGGGATTTCTTACGCAATTTTTTTTCAACAAAAATCTATAGATTAAAAAGTTGTGGCTACAATTCGCCTGTCAATTCATAGCATCCCCACTAGGCGTTTCCTCTCTTCACTGACTCTGGCTGGCTCCTAGTTCCATCTCTTTCTCTCTCTTCCCCCACAACCCCCACCCCCCACCGCCCACCCCCCCGGCTTTCAGTAACAATTAGGGTGTGTGGAAGGACCAAATTACCAATTTGTGGGAAAAGAATTTCATTCCTCCGGCAAAAAGTGAGAAATTGATTAAATGGGGGGAACTGTTAGAGTTAGAGAAGTGAAGGCAAGTGCCAAAAATAACCAACCCGAATATCAGATTTGCCTTTTTCTCTCCATGGCTTAAAATCTCCATCATTAAACAGGAAGAAAAGATAAGCGTAATTATAATTTCTTGGTATGTTGGTTCGTCACTCTTGCAGAGAGGGGAAAATAGCGACACCATACGTATTAGCCAAGGAGGAAGGTGTGGATGAATAAGGTTGTGAGGTAATAAATCTGTTGTTGGAAATGTCTGGTGGGGGATGTAGCATAGTTTGGTTCAGAAGAGATCTAAGGGTAGAGGATAATTCAGCACTGACAGCGGGGATGAGAGCAGGAGCTGTGGTGGCAGTTTTTATATGGGCGCCTGAAGAAGAAGGTCAATACCAGCCAGGAAGGGTTTCCAGATGGTGGCTCAAACACAGTTTGGCTCAACTTGATTCTTCTTTGAGGAACCTTGGCATTTCTCTTGTCACCAAGCGATCCACTGATTGTGTTTCTTCTCTCCTGGAGGTTATCAATTCCACTGGAGCCTCTCAACTCTTTTTTAACCACTTATACGGTATGTTCATATTTCTTCGTCTTCTGGTTGCCGTTTAAATTCCTTTTTATTTTATTCAATTATCTGTTAATATGTGGGAATACCCATACTTTGTTGGGTTTATTGCTGCATAGCCCAACACGTCATATGGGATGGCATGGTCCCTTGGTTCTATAAATTGGTTAATCATCACTTTGTATCTTGACTTCATTTTATGATATTTTGCTTCAATTGATCAAATTCTAAATCGCGTCCACTTTAGGAGAAAAAGTTCTGTCTAAATGTTTGCTTGTAATTTTCTGCATTTTAGATCCTCTATCACTTATCAGGGATCAACGGGTGAAGGAGGTGCTGACTGCTCAAGGCATAGCCGTACGTTCCTTCAATGCAGATTTACTGTACGAACCATGGGAAGTGAATGATGAACATGGCCAGCCATTCACAACTTTTTCTGCTTTTTGGGAAAGATGCCTCAGCATGCCTTATGACCCGGAGGCACCTCTTCTGCCGCCTAAAAGAATTATTGCAGGTCTACCTTTGTTCATCATTTCTTTCCTTTACTTCAGTTCTCTCCTAAACTTTCAATGATTAAACTGTTCACTGGTTTTGCGAGTCGTTAGTTCATGATTAATTAAACCAAGTTACGTCTTTATGTTATAGAATTTCAAATTTTATTGATAATATAAAAAAGACATAGATATTGCATTGAGCAATTAGTCAATTTAAATAGAAATAGAAATAAGGTGTAGTCAAGTGGTATGGCAACGGATTTTTGTTTTGGAACTAAAAAAATGAAATGATTTGGAGAGCCTACACATAAATTCTGTTTGAACTGCTTGTTATACAAAAGGTAGCAAAGTGGTGCAGAAGTAAAAGCATATTTTCCAACAAGATGAAGGTCTAATACTGACAAATGGAAGGTTCATCTTGTGAAGCCTACTGTTGGGCACTTGTTAAATTCAAGCAATGTTCTTTTGAGCAGTTATCAAATTCTGACTTATGAATGTTGAAATTGACACTTGCCATCACCGAACTTGGCCTTTGATATTGAACAATCAAACTTGATTTCAGTTAGCTCTTTGTCTCCACCTTTAATTTCTTTCAGGTGATGTATCGAGGTGCTCTTCTGATACACTGGTTTTTGAAGATGAATCAGAGAAGGCAAGCAATGCACTTCTTGCCCGAGCATGGTCACCTGGATGGAGCAATGCAAACAAGGCTTTAACTGCATTCATAAATGGCCCATTGATCGAGTACTCAAAAAATCGCAGGAAAGTTGACAGTGCCACAACCTCATTTCTTTCCCCACATTTGCACTTTGGAGAGGTGAGTGTGAAAAAGGTCTTCCATCTGGTCCGAATTAAGCAAGTTTTATGGGCCAATGAAGGGAACAAGGCTGGTGAAGAGAGCGTCAATTTATTTCTCAAGTCTATTGGTCTGAGAGAGTATTCAAGGTACATCAGTTTCAACCATCCCTATAGTCATGAAAGGCCTCTTCTAGGCCATCTCAGGTTCTTTCCATGGGTCGTAAATGAAAGCTACTTCAAGGCATGGCGACAAGGAAGAACCGGGTACCCCTTAGTAGATGCTGGGATGAGAGAGTTGTGGGCCACTGGTTGGCTGCATGATCGAGTACGTGTTGTTGTTTCTAGTTTCTTTGTGAAGGTTTTGCAGCTTCCCTGGAGATGGGGGATGAAATATTTCTGGGACACTCTCTTAGATGCGGATCTTGAGAGTGATGCTCTTGGTTGGCAGTACATATCTGGTACTCTCCCTGATGGCCGTCCATTTGACCAAATAGATAACCCACAGGTGCACTTGCTTTTGCATATAACCTACATAAACTAATTGCAGGTTCATGCCTTTTATTTCCTAGACTGGATACCATATGTTCTGTTGCATAATCCTGTTATGCATGTTGTTGATAGTTATAAAAAATGCGTTTTATTTCTAACAACTCGATGTACTGTGTTGACCCGAATCTAATTTCAGTTGTCTGGGGTTCTTCAACGTAGGCAATGGGAAAATGCTGTGATGCCATTTTTCTGTTTTTTTCACTCAGTTGGCTTTTTTTTTTTTTTTTGGGTTTATGTGCTAAGTGCCTCGCCATCTGAGAGCAGACTTTTTTATTCTCCTCCTGGCATAAAAAAATCAAAATGTTCTTGTACTTTGCTTTGCTCTCTGGCTGTTCTCTATTAAAATACCTTAAAGTCATTTTTTTCTTTTTATATAAACTTGAAAAAAATGTTGTTTTAATTTAAAAACTTGTAAATAACAAGTTTTAAATCTAGACTGCTTAAACTAAACTTAGGTGGTTAATAAGGGGGTGTTTGGAAACCCCAAAAAAACACTTTAAAAAAGTGCTTTCATGCAAGCCGAATCCTCTCACATACTTACTTTGGGATCCGTAAAATCACTTTTGAAAAGCTAATCCTAACATCCCCTAAATCTTACTACAATATTGATTCTTGAGATGAGCAATGGATTTAGGTCCACTAGCATATGCGTAATCAACAATAAGTACGATAATTTATTTGATTTACTCATCTTGTTCTGTGCGTTGCTACTGGATTGAGCTTTGAGGTAGTAATTGCGATTGGTATTAAAACTTTCGATCTCTGTACTCTTAATGGGCTATTAAAATGTTTCTAGCCATAGAAATACTCAAACCAGTTATTGGATTTTTGCAGTTCCAGGGATACAAATTTGATCCAAATGGAGAATATGTACGGCGTTGGCTTCCTGAACTTGCCAGAATACCCACTGAATGGATTCATCACCCATGGAACGCACCAGAACCTGTGTTACAAGCTGCTGGAATTGAACTAGGGTCAAATTATCCTCTCCCTATTGTTGGAATAGATGCTGCAAAAGCCAGATTGGAAGAAGCACTAACAGAAATGTGGCAACAAGAAGCATCTGCAAGAGCTGCCATTGAAAATGGAACTGAAGAAGGACTTGGAGACTCCTCTGATGCAATTCCTATTGCCTTTCCTCAAGACATACAGATGGAGGAAAGTCATGAACCTGCTAGACACAATGCCCCTCCTGTTGCTCGCCCCTACGAGGATCAGATGGTCCCAAGCATCACTTCTTCCCTTTTTAGAGCGGAAGAGGAAGAAACTTCTTCAGATCTTCGAAATACAACAGGAGATAGCAGGGCTGAAGTGCCAATCAATGCAAATATACGTCAAAATGCAAGGGCAAGAGAAACATTGAACCAACGGATGTTGCAGGCTGTCCAAGGAAATACCCTAGTACAGAATACTGCAGTGGAACTGAGAAATGATGCTGAAGATTCTACAGCAGAATCTTCAAGTAGTGGTAGTAGAAGAGAAAGGGATGGAGGTGTAGTTCCAGTATGGTCTCCTCCAGCTTCTAGTTACTCAGACCAAATTGTAGGAGATGAAAATGGCAGAGGAGCTGGTACATCCTACTTGCAGAGGCATCCTCAATCTCACCAGCTTATGAATTGGAGGCAGCTACCTCAGACTGGGTAATTACTAAGTTCTATTTAATCTTACACTGCGCCTACTGAACAACTTCATTTCAACTTAGGAGGCTTTTATGTCCCAAGCATTTGAGGATCTTCCGTTACGTGATACATTATTATAATTAATATTTTGATAACAGGTAATCCATATCGGATTTAAGCAGAGTAGCAGAGTTGGAGAATTCAGCCGCGGCTCACGTTTTGGGAAACTGGGATGATGAAGCTTCATTAGGCAGGCATCTGAAGTGTACACTCACTACCCCTCTCGGCAGTCTTGACATGATTAACGGCTGGCTTCAAATGTATATGAAATTTTTAATTCATGCGGGCAGATCATCTCCTGCCGCTTTTGCTTTCTTGTAAAATATGTGTAGCTTAAACCGTCATAGGACGTCTATCCCTTGAGAAACAGAGGTTTATGCTCGTCATTTTTCTATCAAGGTATGCACAGCCATTAGTGAATAATCGCGCTTCATTTATATTTTATACCCACACGCACGCTTGCACGCATAAAAGAAAGTTAATGAAAAATACATCGTTTTCAGCTAAAAAGAAGAAGAAGAAAGAATTACATAGTTACTGCCTGGATGCTTATACCAAAAAAAGGAGGGACATTTGGTTAAAAGTCTTTGTTTAAAAATTTAATTGGTTAAAAGAACGATGTAACTATAATTCATAAGTATAGTTTTTTATTGGTTGTGTGCAACATATTATCAAAGATGCGCAACAATGAAAGAAAATTTATAGTTATAAATATAGTTGTATATACTCAAATTTAAGTCTTTTTAACTAATTAAGTTTTCAAACAGGAAATTTTTTTATCAAAATTTTCAACAAAAAAAACCTTTTTTAAATTTCATCACTTATGTTGTGGATTTTTTTTTTTGGGTATAAACTCGAGTTTTCTCAAGTAAAATTAACTTTTGTCAGGGTAAAAATGTTATAGTTGAAGTCTTCTTAATAAGTGTGTAGGGTTTGAATTTGTGTTTTCTTCTTTACAAGAATGAAAATGCTAACTAGCCTAACAATTGTGGCATTGTTAGGAATGCCTAAAGGAGGAAATGTGCCTGAGTGATGGCTTTACAAAGGAAATTAAGACCCGGACTGGGGACATGCACTGACACTGTGCTTGATTGATGGTGGAAATTGCTTCGCGAAGCCTGGAGAGATAAGGCGGAAAAAGGCATGGATTCTAGCTTCCTCTTGCCGTGCAGGATAGAGAATCAAGTGGGCTTAGTGGGAAAGGGAAAGAATCCAGTCTCTCAGCTCTCTTGAGGAGGATTGACTTTCTGTTCTCTTTAGTGTAACACTCTTCCCTCTGTTCGGATTTCCTAAGTCAATATTGCGTATTAATCCCCGAGGTCCCAGAAAAGATAGGAATTTCAACCTTAGTTGCTTCTTTCTAACTGCCTTCAGAATTCTTCTTCGCCACTAGTGGCAACGAAGTTCTTGGTAATTAACAAGGGTATCGGAAGATCTCCACTCATTTCATTCATTCAGTGCCTGCGGTGAGGCGCAACCCACAACAAACAAAGGGGGAAAGCTTGCTTGCTGTAGCCCTATTTTAGTAGACTAGGCTTGGTAAGCCAAAGGCCTGCCAGTGACAAAGCAAACGGATCTTCCGTTTCACACGTATGCTCTATCAAGCCGTACAAGTCATGGAGAAAAACCATAGACCTCTGTGCGACTGAGTTAACGCTCCTCGCAAATAGGGGTGAGTATTCGGTTTTTCGGTTCGGTTATCGGTGATAACCGAACTAACCGAATAACCGAATAAAGTAAATTTTAAAAACCGAACCGAAACCGATTAACCGAACTAACCGAAACCGAATTAACCGAAAATTTCGGTTCGGTTAACCGATTAACCAAAATATATAAATATGAAAAATTATTTTAAATTAAAAATAATAATAAAACACAATTACAACTATTAATTAATAAATATTTCATGATTCAATGTGATTTATTATAATAATATTTGTTATAACCATATTTATTGAATATAAATATATTAAAAAAGTTCACATATACCCACCTATACATTTATTATAATAATATTTATTAAATATAAATATATGATATATTTATTTCGGTTATTCGGTTATAACCGAAATTTTTTTCTACTAACCGAACCGAACACCAAAACCGAATTATTTAAAAAATAAAAACCGAATATATAACTGAAAACCGAAATAACCGAACCGAAAAACCGAAATTGAATTCGGTTCGGTTCGGTTTTCGGTTGCGGTTCGGTTTTGCTCACTCCTACTCGCAGACATACTGACAGCTGGGGACAATTTGTGAACACACAAGAATCAGATACCATGGTTCAAAATGAACGGAGAGGGGGAAAAGGGAAATCAGCAGTGATGTTGCGAGACATGCTTGATTTGTATGATGTAATGTCCCCAAGTCACAACATTCTATGAGTTGCATCATTTTTGTTGTAGTTTATTCCTGGTGGCCTATGAGCTCCCACACGAGAGCCTTAAGATGACTCGTTGAACTCAATTACTGAGTCCCCACCACCCCAATGTCTTCTTGCCCATCATACAACACCCTGAGACTAGACGAGAATTGCATTTGTACAGCAAAGTTTACTTCAACTGTAAGAAATTGTTGCGTGTATTACAAGACAGGGCTGACAAGTTTGAATGGAAGTTTGCTATCATCTGCCGCGGCTATACACTGTAATAGCCACTACCCAAATTTGCCTTTTTTGGGTGTCGAGGATTCTTTCGAACGACATTCTGTTGATGCTGTAATTTTCAACCAAGCAACATGTAAATTGTTTAAATTTGATCAGTACGATTTACATTTTAATATTTTTGTTATTTTAAAAGAAAATTAAGTGTGATGCGGAATGAAGAGTCTCATACATGCTGCAAATCCAAATACATTCAAGAGAGTCTAAACCCGTAAACTGCAAATCACATGCCCATTTACAACAACAATGGAGAAGCTGAGTCTTGACTTTGATTTGGTGATCAAGTCCTGACACATTGAGTTACAAATGGTTATATTACCACTTCAAAGAGCTTATTTTGATACTGGTTTACAGCAAGCTATGCCAATCTGATCAGGAAAGTTCACCACTCTAGATTCATACGTATTAGGAATCCCTAGTGGAATTCTAATTTAGTCGTATTTATAGTGCTTGTCCACTCCAACAGAGACATCCCAAGTGCAACTCATCCCTTTTGGGAACACAACCAAATCACCAGCACCAATCTCAACTGCTTCATTTGACCCACTGGGTGTCACCTTCACTTTCCCTTCCAACAGATAGCATGTCTCTTGGGCTTCAAAAGTCCATGGGAAATTGCTCGGGGGACATCCCCACCTGTATGCATCAAAACATTATCAACAATCAGAGATACATTCAAGCCTGACAATGCTCGAATTTGAGTCACCAAAAAAAAAAAAAAAGAATAATAATTATGTGGAGAGCTTTACTTTTCAAGAGTATGAACTTTTTTCGCCAGTTGATACACTGTTATCCTCATCTTACTAAATAAGGAATTAGAGAGAGAATTGAGTATTCTAAGAAGACCAGTTGAAAATAAATTTTAACTGTATCCTATGTTTTATCCTTCAGTTGTCCTAAGGAATGGACTAATCTTCAGTTGTCCTATTAATATGATGAATTTTCCAACGAATGCATTCAGTTTACAAGCCACTAGGCTAGACAATCTCCAAAGCATGATTTCAGAAGCACTTTTTTACAAAACGAGACAAACTCCTCCACATATTTATTTTGTAAACCGTAAAAGCACTTCTGAAGTCATGGTATGGTTTCTATCCAAACACCCCCTAAAACCACTACGAATATGGGAAATGGGAAACATTTTCCAATCCCTAATTCCAAAAGCCAATTTGTTAGGGTTTTAAAAACAGACTTCAAGAGATAGAAAAACTTTCAAGTCAAGGAACCCACACAACTTAATAGTGAACAAGAAAGAGCAGGATGATACAGAAATAAGCTTTACTAATCAATGCCTAAAATCAAGTTGCGAGATTTTGACCTCAGGTTCCAATCCCTAATTCCAAAAGCCAATTTGTTAGGGTTTTAAAAACAGACTTCAAGAGATAGAAAAACTTTCAAGTCAAGGAACCCACACAACTTAATAGTGAACAAGAAAGAGCAGGATGATACAGAAATAAGCTTTACTAATCAATGCCTAAAATCAAGTTGCGAGATTTTGACCTCAGGAGGGTTATTCATTGACCCAACATGAAGAAAAGCACAACTTTCTTTCCTAAAGCCAAATCACACAGGCCAATACATTAGGGATTTTCCATGCAACAAATTCGATTCCCAGCGAATGAAACATGTGTAGATACTTAAGACATATAACATAACGAAGGAACAAAAAAAGAGGAAGAAGATGAAGAAATGAGAGTTACTTGGGCCATTGCTTAACGCCAAGTTGTGTAAGTTTATCCTCAGGAGGATTTCTTTCTACCTTGATTCCTAATTTCTCCATCGTCATGCTTTCAGCTCTTACTGCCACAACACTCCTCGCTGAAGGAAAACGAAGAGAGTGTTTGGTTCCTGCAAAAAGCCAGGAGTGGTTTGGCGATATACCCACACAGGCCATTGTAACAAAGCGAGAAACTTCCGGGAACTTGGGCTTGGATTCACAACTCCCAGCAATCATCATGTAAAGTTAAAGTTTATAACTTTGCTTAAATTTTTATCCTTTTTTATTGTTTATTTATTTTTTGGGCCCGAGTCATGCGTCTTTAATTTGGATCACTCATTTCTCATCTTTAGCAGTTTCGGGAGAATGAAAGAAGACCGGAATTTGATTTGTTAATGCCATTTTCCTCTGATTCTCATAAATTTTTGTGACTTCAAATTTTAATCAGACGTCTTTTTTCCTTCAGAAAAAAATTATTTACGCTAATTCTTTTGTCTTTTTTTCTTTTCCTTCTTCAGCCTATGTTCACAAACTTACCTATCAAAATACGTGGCCGAAAGACAAACACTATTTGTCAAAATGAATATATATATATATATATATATGACTTATTCTGGCAAAAAAATATATATGAAGAATTATTTGGGGCCATCAAATCGGTTCTATGTTATGGTATACAAAAGGTTCTATTTCTTTTCTTTTTTTGCCAACAACAAAAAGTTCTATTTTACAGCATCTATTTTATGCATATTAAATGCTCCCTCAGCAAATAAATATAAAACTTGTTTTGTAGTGTAAAGTACACTACAAAATAAATCTTATATTTAAGATCAGAAGACTATCATAATTTAATTATCATCAAATCGGTCTTTCATGTATACCAAAAAAAAAAAAAATCGGTCTTTCATTCCTCTGTCAAATAATATCTTAACTAGGAAGAATCATGATGACGAGTAACCAAGCTTCATTCACCGTTTTTTTTCCCTTGTGGTCAGACAAGTTTCATCCATTTTACAACAAAGTCCTCGTCGAATTTTAACCGTCTGCATCCAACAAACAACTGTGCGACTCACGTTAACAAAAAAGGAAAAATCGTAAAAAAAAAATCTTGAAAATAGAAAATGACAAATAAATGACTCATTACAACGTTAACATTAGTTTTGACAACAACAATTAATAAGTAAATGACAATAACTTTTGTGAACAGATGTCTGTATACAATTTTGTAATTTGCAAGGTCTTTTTTTTGAGATTTTTCCTCAACAAAATACAGAATGAAAAAACAGGTAGAAAGAAAAGTAGTTTTATATCCATTCAAATTCTTTTTATTTCATTCTATTTTTTTAAAAAAAGTTACATGATATATTACCAGGAAAAATCACAATATGTTTTTATCAGTTTCATAAATACAACAACAAATTTTATCTCCCTAAGTAGAGTCAGATGCATGAATTGTGCCCGTGTGTGAGATGATGTCAATTCTCTATATCAAGAACATTAAGCAATGAGACAGAAATTATGTTAATGAGGAGGATATACACATAATAAAGCTAACCAATCATAATTAAAATTATGTGGGAAACCATAGACAACATACATTAGCCTTATCAAATACATCTATCATAAGGTTTTGATTTCTCTATAACAACCTTGCATTTTGCATCCCTTCTCCTCACCTGCAAAACCAAAGCTACAGTTATGATATCACAAACCTTGCATTTATCATCATAAGGTTTTCTTATTTCTCTAACACAGTATTGAAGGATAATATTATGATCCAGAATCAAGCAAGTACACAGCACATTCATTTTAGTCAAAAAACATCTTCCACATTCCAACTAAGATTACCTCAACCTGCGGACTCTTTCCTCGAAGCAACATATCTACACTTTTGTCTGTCTGCAAAAAGTCAAAGAAAATATGAAACAAACAAGATAAAACTTGCTGATGTTTAATCATTACCTTCTTTTCATCTCTGACAACAATAACAAAGAATAAAGAGTGCCTCTCTCTTGTTTTAATTTCAAACTAAAACTTTAGTTCAGCTACCATTACAATGCAATTTGTTGGTGTTGAAATATATGTAATTCATTATGCCCACACACTGTTTTTCTACAGGATTTGGAGGCAGAAAACCAGTAACGAAGATAAGGCTCTAAAGGAAAATGGATATTTATTGGTTACTCTAACAGGCTGAATTGACCTAAGGATCACCTTGATTTTCTTAGATGGTCTACAGATAGAAACCAAGTTTCAACCCAAGCTGGCACTTCACAAGTATATGTTTTCACTAATCAGGAGATTGATAAGTCACTAACAGTAGAAGATTAGTCCAATCAACACACCTGATGAGTAATCCAGTAGTGCCTGTCCCTCATCTCAATTAGGAAATCAAATGTTGGAGGAGCTTTCCTCTCAAGAACTGTCTTCTGACAATTTCTGAATCTGGCTTCTGCATCTCCCAAAGTAACTGCGTGTATTCCACCAATCTGGCAAATCCAGTGGAAGCAGATCTTGCCTATTAGAGTTGTACAGATTTCTTAATGACACAATCCCATGCATCAAGCTTTCTTTAACATGGACCACTCAATGTGAATTTTGGATGACTTAATTAGGAGCAGGTTTTCAAGAAACGTTCTAAGATGCTTATGAAACTCTCACATATCATGAAATATGACGCACCTCCAAGATCCTTCTAAACAATGTTCATCTCTATCATCAGTGGCGTTCATTCACAAAAGGAACATAAAACAAGCTCAGATGAAGATTTATTAGACAGAAGAAAAGATTACAAGGAATGGGGATAAGGTATCCTCACAGGAAAAAGAAATAAAAAGAAAATCATAAAGTCAAGGTGGGGATCAGGTATCCTCACAGGAAAAGGAAAAGAAAAAGAAAATCATAAAGTCAAAGACCCCCCTTTGAAGCAAACATGTGAAGGCCGAAGAGCACCATAGGGGAGTTAGGAAAGACATTATAAAGCTGCTTCCACCATGTTTTGAAGTCAAATTTAATAATGGAATAGACCACATAAATCAAAACAAATAAACGACCCTTGAATGGCTACATAAATTATAACCACATAATATTTAATGTAGCTCCAGCTTCCTGTTTATATCCAAGAACGTGACAATGGGGAGTCCAGAATAAATGAAAACAGTAACTGAGAACTCAACTCGTTAAAGAGGAAAGAAAGTCTCAGGTTGCTACTGGGAGAATCACAAAAAGAGGAAAACACACCAAATCAGAGAGAATAGGATTCTTCATGATATTCTCAAGAAGCTGTCCATGAGCAGTCCGATAAGCATGATTCCTCGCTCAGCAATTGACCGGCAAGCATGAGCTTCAGCTTCTGTGCCAATTTCATCTACTACAATCACCTCAGGCATGTGGTTTTCTACCGCCTCAACCATCACCCTATGCTGCATTGATGGCTCAGGCACCTGCATTCTTCGAGCACTTCCTATTGCTGCATGTGGAATATTGCCATCCCCTCCAATTTCATTGCTGGTGTCAACAATTACCTACCAGTTTGGAAGTATTTTTCAAATGATGAGTTGAACAGAATATATTGTGAGTGAGAAAGAGTACTGCAAGATGCTAAAAAAGCAACACACCACTCTCTTGCGAAATTCATCTGACAGCACACGTGCAATCTCTCGCATAACTGTAGTCTTGCCAACCCCAGGCCTAAGAAAATCCAAATTATAAACAACCAAAAAATAAAAAAACTAAACCCTTGAACATAATACCTGGTAAATAGAAAATATAGATTTCCAGGGACAGGCAAGTTAATAGACTGTGATAAAATGACTTCCCACCATTTATATTTTCCCTCAACATATAATAAGAAAATCTTCAAATGAAGTCATCAGACTAAACTTTACAATTTGCAGCGCCAAACTTAGAGTCATCAAGTACTTGACATAAAAAATGACATATAATGAAATTTGAGTAAATATATATATTTATATATAAACATCCAATCAGATTTACTTCTTTGAAGCATCTAAGCATATCTTACTATAATGCTCGTTGATAGTGCGATTTACCTTCCAACAAATAAAATGCCCCTTCCATATTGAAGCAGGTCATACACCATGTCAATATGGCCATAGACTGCCCTTCCAACTCGGCATGTCAAACCAACTATGCCACCTTTCCTGCTTCTGATTGCAGATATTCTGTGCAATGTACCCTCAATGCCAGCTCTGTTGTCCCTCCCAAATTCTCCAACAGCTTCTTGAGCATGTTCCAACTCTTCCACTGTTACCTACATGCTTCTTAAATGGTCACAGAACCCTTTGAAGGTTAATTGTCTCAAAATTAATACATATAATGAATGACAATTCAGGAAAAAAAAATTCTTATTTTACTCTGCATAGGAGACTTCATATAAGTAGATAATGGAGATAAATAAAAAGATTGAATCCAAATATGAAAGCCAAAGTATTATTCAATCCTAATAAATACGACCTTTGGTCTCAAAAGTGTTTTGTTACCTCAGTATTCCTTATATATTCCCCTCCATCCTGGCCAAGATAACGTGCTTCTGGAAAACGACCCAAATCCAATATAACCTGATAAATGAAGGCAGCAAATTATAATGGATTGTAGGCCTATGGTTCGCATCGAATTAACCAAGCCTTTCTGCATGAGCAAGCCTATACAACATCTACCTGAACACTGCAGTTAAATTAAGAAAACGGGGGACGGATATCAAACTTAAAATTGTGTAGTTAAAACAAGTCAGGTCTCATATATAACATCGACCTGAACATCTTAAGAGAAGTTCATCCTCTTATAAAATTTCCACAAACAAGAAGAGTCATCACGCCAAAATCTAGAAGAGTAAGGAGCACCTCTTTAGAGGTTCTTTATGAAAGCATCAGAAAAGAACGTGACAGAAAGTTTTGAAGAAAATCAAGACCCAATGGAAAAATCAAAATCAATTGCAAATGCTATAATCTGCCAGGAGGATAACTTTTGCCAATCCCAAAGAGGATATTGATTGGAAGTTTTTAGAGTGTTTCCAGAGAGAAAGGATGACGCTAAAACCAACACATCTCACCTCCAAAAGTTCATCCCTCTTAACTTCGTTTAGGAGACTGTCATGCAAATCAGATGGAAGGACCTGCAAGAAAGCCGAGCTAGTCATATTAAGTTCATTAGGAACGCAACTCATTAAGAACAAGATATCAAAAAAAAAAAAAAAACACCACATATAAGTAAGAAATCGGAAATCTTTAGCAGTCATAACATCCAAGTCTTAGTGTTCATGTTGTAAAACAGAAAAGTGACCAAGTAATACTTATATCTCATCTCCCCCCCCCGGGGGGGGGGGGGAGAATAAACCAACTCTAAAAATTCCACGCGCATTTGAAAGAAGGGAATGCTGTTTGAGAAAATTACCTGTAACAGAGCTTGCAGATCGTCCTGCGCAAATGAACAAGCATGGTCTGATGATGAAGCCCCACAAATGGCTATGCCAGCAGCAATATGCTGATAGGTTCGCATTTGGAGACTAAAACTCAATTTCTGTGATGAAAAATGGTATCTTTTGAGTGGCGTAGGGCTTGAATTCTTCAAACAAGTTGACAAATCCGCCGGCAATAACGACGTTGCACCCATTTTCCCTTCTACTGAGTTTCTCTCGCTCACGGTGTGCAGCTAGCTAGCTAGCTGCTACGGCCCCAGCTTCCCCTATCCGAATTCTCAAAGACAGATCCTGATATTTATACGTTTTTTCTTCAACTCCTTTCATTTTTTCCCTGGTATTTGGAAATATTCCATCAAACTCAAGTTTTTTACTTAAAAAATCTTGATTACTTAGTCATAATATCGTATGGTGACTATGATATAATTTGAGTTATTATAATACTACTATCAAAATTCTTCACGAAGTCAATATGTTCTTTTTTTTTTTGGTTCAAGAATTGGCTTTTTTTTTTTAATGAAAACTGTATTACACCAAAATCAGGTCCGAACAACAAAAGAGGACCTAAGTCCTAACAACAAACTCCTCCTCTTCATGCAAAAAAGGAGGGGGTTGAGCAATGATACAAAAATTACCCTCCATAAAATGGGAGGACTTGGCTAAGGTATCCACTATTCTTAAATTTTCCCTATAAGTGTGTTGAATTTGAACATTCCAGTCCCGGTAGAACAACCACCTGTTGTCGTCAACTACATCTCTAAAAGGGTGGTTACTAGCACAACCTCTAATAATTAGATTAACAGCTTCTATACAGTCGGTTAACAAAAGGATGTTCCTGAAGGCTTTATCCCAGCACAAGTTAAGTCCATGGATGATGCCTATTAATTCTGCAATCGCTGGGGGCACCTTAGTAAGTTTGCATTTGAACCCCGTTAACCACTTGCCTTCCTTGTCCCAGATAACTCCTCCGCATCCGCTGTCTCTGTTTGGCAAAATTGAGCCATCTATCTCAAGCTTAACAATTTCCTCTTGGTATCCGCAAGCCACCTGGTTGGGCCCTTGATTATAGCCATGAAAGTTCGAACGCCGTATGAGATCGTGGTCCCAACAGGCCCTGAAAAAGCTAGAATTTGGGCTTTGGTAATCTGCAATGAAAGTTGGGTCAAAAATTTTGTTGCAACGGTCAACCCAAATGTCCCAATAGATATACCCAAACAGATAAGCCCATGATATTTTCTTCATGTGCTCTTGCCCTGCTTCCTTTTCTAGATTCCATTCCACCCAGTCTCGTCCGTTAATGCTGAAAAAACTATCCCAAAGATCATGGGAGATCACTCTCTGCCAATGTTGTCGTGCATTAGTACAGTCTCTGATGAGATGCATACTTGTTTCCTCTGCATCACAACCAAAGGGACAAGTAGCGCTATCTGTTATGCCTTGTTGTCTCCTAAGGTCAGCTGTGTGTAGTCTTCCATGTGTGAAGAGCCATATGAAGGTTTTAATCTTCTCCGGAGTCTGCCATCGCCAAATCTTCTTCCATATACTATCTGCCTGTTGTTGAGTACCTACACAAAGAAAGGAATAAGCAGATTTAACAGTAAAACTACCATCCGAGGATGGTTTCCAAATGGTTTGTCCTGTCCTCTCTCCTCACAAGGGGGGTGTGCACACATAATCTTCTCAACTGTATCTGGGTTAAACTAATGGCTGAGTTTTCTCCAATCCCATTTGCCCCGTGGCGTAACATAGTCCCTCACTTTTTCTCTTGGGTCAACTAGACCTTCCCTTCCCGGGATCAGATCAATTAGGGGCATGTTCACCTCAGACCAATTGTCAAAGCAGAAGGAGCTATTTCTGCCGTCACTAATCTTCATGCCCAGACCTTTATTAAAACTCCCCCAGAGCTAACAGATGGCTTGCCAAGTAAGTGACGCATCAGGCATTTCTTCACATCAGGTTTCCTCTGCTCACCACAATTATACTTTGTTCTTAGCACTCTAACCCAAAGGGCATCTCTGTCGCATACTAATTTCCAGCACAATTTGAGGATGAAAGCTTCATTTTGTTTCCTTAGGTTTTTGAGGCCTAGACCACTCGTCTGTTTCTCCATGGTGACTTGCTGCCATGATAAGAGATGAATTCTCCTTTCTCCATTACCTTCTCCCCACAGAAATTCTCTACTGGTCTTTCCTAGATCATCAGTCAGCTTTTTCGGTAGAAGGATAGTTTGCATATAGTAGGAGGGCAAAGCAGAGAGAACAAATTTTATCAAGGTAGAACGTCCTGCTAGATTCAACAGTTTCTTTTTCCATCCAGCTAGTCTCTTTTGTGATTTTTCTGCGATTGGGGCAAAGACAACATAAGAGGCTCTTTTATATATTAGTGGTATACCCAAGTATTTGCCCAGGTCACCTGTAAGGCCAACACCCATCCTCTGGCTAAGATCTCTAGCACAAGAGAAGTGAACATTATTGGAAACATATATCTTAGTCTTGGTTCTATTCATTTTCTGACCGGAGACCATACAAAACTGATTTATGCAATCAACCATTGTGTCAACTTTCCAAGAACTAGCTTCTCCAAAAAGAATTAAGTCATCCGCAAAGAAAAGATGGGAAATAGGAGGCCCTATTGAGTTAAGCTTGATTAGCTCCCATTCTCTGTCTTCAATAGCATCTTTTATAATATGACTCAGTCTCTCCATGCAAAGAGTGAAAATATAAGGGGATATTGGGTCACCCTGTTTGATTCCCCTGGAAGCCTGAAATTCCTCTATTGGTTCCCTATTCCACAATACTCGAAAGGAAGCACTGCTTATACAAGCCATGATAACCTTGCAAAGTTTTTCATCTATGCCTGCCAGTTTGAGGGTATCGTAAATGAATGGCCATTCCAATCTATCATAGGCTTTCTCCAAGTCTACCTTAACTGCTAGCCAGCCTTTATTACCCTTTTTCCTTCTCATCGAATGTATCACTTCTTGAGCTATGATGATGTTATCACTGCTTTGTCTTCTGACAATAAAACTGCATTAGTGCCCTTCCACTAGTTTTCCCATAATGGTTCTTAATCTCTTACTGATCAATTTGGTGATGACTTTATAGCTTACATTGCAGAGGGAGATAGGTCGAAAGTCCTTCATTTGTTCTGGCTTGTCTAGCTTTGGTATAAGGACAATGTTTGTGGCATTTACCTCTTCAACTCGTTTTGGGTCTTGAAACACATCCTTAACAAGCTTGCATACATGTGAACCAATGCTTGGCCAGAATTCATGATAGAAGAAAGCTTGAATTCCATCCGGTCCAGGGGCCTTGAAAGCTCCTATATCGAAGGCTGCTTCTTTGATTTCATCATCTATAACATCATCCGAAAGTAGAGAAATCTCACTCTCATTTAGAGGGGGAAACTGTGAGAAGTGATTAATTGATTCCTGTGTTGCAACTCACTGCTAAATAGGGTTCTGTAATAATTGAGAGCCATGCTCTTCAGAGAATAATGATCAAAAACCCAATCCCCTGCAGCATTTTGGAGTCCTTCTATGCAGTTCCTTTGTCTTTTAATTATGGTTGACATATGAAAATACTTACTGTTCCTGTCTCCATATTTCAGCCAGTTGCACCGGGACTTTTGGAACCAAATAAGTTCCTCCTGAGCAAGGACCTTATTGTACTCTTTCCATAGTTCTATTTCTTGTTGGTAAAGGTAGAGGTTGTCTTTTCTGTTGTGGGCTCTTTTTACTCCTTCCAACCTTCCCAATATATTTCTTTTTCTGTTTAGGATGTTCCCCACAATGTTTCGGTTCCAACTCTCGGCTTCCTTAGTGAACCTTTGAATATTTTCTCCCCATTTCGAGTGTACCCAAGACTTGTTCACAATTTCATTAAAGCCCTCTTCAAGGACCCAGGCTGCTTGACATCGGAACGGATGCTTATATCCTCTATTAGTACCATTGGTCGTATTCTTGATGAAAAGAGGACGATGATCCGATCCATATTTCAACAGGTGATGTATTTTAGTGAGGGGGAATAGGGTGTTCCAGGCAGTATTGGAGAAACCCCAATCCAGTTTCTCTTTCATGCAATTATGTTCCCAGGTAAAGTGTTCCCCACATGTTCAAGTTCTATCAGCCGAGCCTCATGATACAATTACTGAATTGCCTCATGGAGATGAGATTCGGGGGCGATCCACCTTTTTTATCATTTATGGATAAATAAGCATTGAAGTCCCCAACCACCAACCAGGGTTCCTCAATAACATTGCTAATGTTAATAAGATCCTACCACAAGGTCCTTCGAAGCATTTCGTTCGGTTCTGCATAAACACAAGTGAGGAAAAACTTCTTGTTTTCTTTTCTGTGATAAGCATGAACGTGTACTAACTGAGTGGTAGAAAATTGATAGTCAATCTGAATCACATTTTCATTCCACAACACCCAAATTCCCCCCGCATACCCTATAGCTTCAAGTCTGATCCAATTCGTGAATCCCAGGCGATAGATAACTCGATTAGCCTTAACTCCACTAATTCTAGTTTCATGTAAAACCATAACATCAACAGAATTCCCTTTCACCAAATCTCTAACTCTTCCGGGGAAGTTCTTTGAGGCAGTGCCTCTGCAGTCCCAGGAAATTAAATTCATAAGTAAACAGAAGAGATAAGATCGAAGAGTACTTATCTCAAGTAGTCTTCGTTGTTTCCATCCTTCTGTCCCTTGCGTTTGCCTCTTCCCCATTGTCCACTGTCTCATACCACAGGTCATTTGCATCTCCACTTTCTGAATCGAATTGGAGTTCTCTAGCTAGTTGTCCAGGGTCCGGAGGTTTATTCAGTTCGATGTTCGATGTTATTTCCTCCATAACTCTGTCATTTTGCTCTTGGTTCTGACTGGATAGCTCTTGTGTTGCTATGTTTCCGCCCCTGTCTTCTTTTGTCTCGTCAACTTGTATCCTTCTTTCATTTATCTGTTTTTTATCGCAGCCCATTGCCTCTAGAGAGCCCATAATTATTCTGTGACTTCTCACCGTGGGCTTCCTTTTTAGTTTGGGGGATAGAATCTTGGGCCTTGTTAGTTGTCCCCTTTTCCTACCCACCTGCGTTTTGCTTTCTGAAATGGGCTTGGTCTCCTTCGGTCCTAGGATTTTAAACAAAAATTGATGGTTTGTCTTTTCCTTCTCTTTTTTCCTGCCGTTTTCTACTATATCTCTCTCTTCACTTCTCACATCAACAATATTTTCCTGCCTCATGCTGCAGTCCCCTTTTTCGTGTGTACTGTTTTCAAAAGTCTGACCTCTCGTGCTGACTGCAGGGCTTACTGATGCTCTCTTTGGCTTTGCTACTTTCTTCCTCCATTCTGTACCCATTACCTTATTTTTGCTAGGCTCTTTCTTCTCTGCTGATGGGACATGGTTGACCTCCTCTTGCAAGACCTCAAATCTAGTACCCAGGGGTTTCGTCTGATCTCTCTCCTTGCCCCTTATGCTGCCACTTTCCTTGTTATGTTGCTTTCTCTCTGTTTCAGATCTTTGAGCATGCTGCCTGATTGGACATTTCACTTGCATCTAGTCCCCAAACTCCTCGTGATGCGTGATCCCCAGCGTGCTGATCAACGGTTGCTTCCTGGCATTTCCCGTAGCTTCATTTCCAGAATCCGACACTGGTGTGTTTTGGTTCGCCGAGGTGTTTTCTAGGTTTCCAGTCTGGTGATGCGAGCATTTTTCTTGAGTGTGGCCATATCTGCCACATTTGAAACAAATGGCATCTAATCCTTCATACTCAACAGTGAATATCTTCCTCCTCAAAACGAACCTGGACTGAAGTTTCTTATTTAAGTCAACTTCCACGCTTACTCTTGCAAATTTTCCTCGCTCCACCGCCACTCTGCTGTTGCTGCAATGAGCCAGAGTATTTGTATCGACTTTGAGAGCTCTTCCTATCAGGTTTCCCAGTTCCAACATACACGCTTCATCATAGACGTAAATGGGAAGAGTTGGAACTCTTACCCAGGTCGCTACTTTCCTCACTCTGTTACAATAGGGATTAAAATTAGGACTCCACCACTGTATAGCGAGGTAATGTCCTTGAATAAACCATGGTCCCTCAAACAATAGTCTCCTTCTTAGTTCTTTGACTTCTGTCCGAAAGATGAAGTAGATATTTGGGAGGTCAATTATTTCGAAGTCTGACGATTTTAGGAGCCAAGAATTGGCTTTTAATGACAGTTTACTTTCCATTTCTTCCTTATTCAAAAAAAATAAAATTTCCTTTTCTTTTACTGTGCGCAACTGCGCATTGACCAGAAAGTGATCTTCTTGGATGAATGATGAATCAGCATGCGAATTTATTTTATCATTCAAGATGATAGTTGATGGCCAAAAGTAAAAATGAAAAAAATATGATTTATAGTTTATTTGTGGTATTATATTTTTTTCACATAATCAAACTGTTAGTAAGTTAAAATTTCTTTGGACTGAATTATTAAGTCAAAATCTTAAAACAAATTGTAAGTGATAATGATTTTGTTATTTCCAAGTAATAATATTTTTATTACTAAGAGAATATAGTATAAATTTTATTTTTAATAAGATAATAAATATATAATTTCTAAATAAATTATTCTTGAAGAAAACCTGTTTTTTTTTCCCGGAAATCGGATCCCAGCACACCCTACTCCCTACACACAAAGAATTGCATTAGCAGCTTTGTCCGGGAAATTGCATTTGTCTGAGGTTAAAAGATTCGATTTTCATAGGCTGACCTTCTTGAGCTTCTCGTCGGCGGCTACCTTCCACCCATCTGTTGGGAGATCTATCTGCGCCGGTGAACATGTGTATAGCTTTAAGGTATGCCTTCCCTAAATATGTTCACTTTCTTCCATCTCTTATCCTTCTCTCATTCCCTTATTCTCTCAATCTTAAGTCCCAACCTTATTCCCAAACCCCATTTGCAAGTAACGTCGACGACGCCGTTGCTTCATTCAATCGGTTGATATGTATGCGTCCCCCAACTTCCCTATTCCAGATTACTAAGATTTTAGGATCACTTGCAAAGAGTAAACATTATCGAACTGTTATTTCACTTTCTGCACAAGCCGAGCTCAATGGATTCACGCATGATTTTTTTACATTGAGCATATTGATCAATTGTTACTGCCAGGTGGGTCAGTTGTATTCTGCTTTCTCAGTGTTGGGAAGGATTCTCAAGATGGGTTTTCAACCGAATATCATAAACTTGACTACACTGATTAAAGGACTCTGCATTGGTAAGAAGGTTGGGGAAGCAGTAGACTTTCAGGAGGAGTTATTGGCCAAAGGATTTCAGTTAAATGAAGTCAGTTATGGAACCTTAATCCATGGGTTATGTAAAGCAAAGAGACTAAGATCTGCCATTGAATTGCTCGAAAAGATGAAGGGGCTTGGAATTAAGCCTAATGTAGTAATGTATAACACAATCATTGATGGTTTTTGTAAGGAAGGGCAAACATGTGAGGCACGTGATTTGTGTTCTAAAATGACTGGTTGTGGAATTTTACCAAATAATATTACTTACAACTCACTTGCCCATGGTTTCTATAGTATGGGCCAATGGCGAGAAGCTACTCAATTGCTCCTTGAAATGGTATTGAAAGACATCAAACCCGATGTTTATACCTTTAGTATATTGGTTGATGCATTTGGTAAGGAGAGAAGGATCACAGAAGCTCAAGCATTGTTTGCTAGGGTGATGAAGTGTGGTGAGAGGCCTAATGTTGTAACTTATGGTGCTTTGATGGAGGGGTATTGTTTGATGAATAATGTCAACGAGTCAAAGAAAGTATTCAACAAAATGATCCAAAGTGGCTTGACACCTACTGTTGTGAGTTATAGTATTTTGATTAATGGACTCTGCAAGGCTAGTATGGTGGATGAAGCTTTGGATCTCTTTAAAGAAATGCATCAGAAAAACTTGGTCCCCAATGTTGTAACTTATAATACCCTTATTGATGGCTTATGCAAATCAGGAAGAATGTCATGTGTGCAAGATCTTGTACATGAGATGTATGCCAGTGGTCAAACCCCTAATATAATCACATATAATACCTTGTTGGATGCATTTTGCAAAAGCCAAAATCTCGACATGGGGATTCTATTAATTAAGCAAACTATTGACCAAGGTATTTGGCCTTGCAAGTACACATATAGTATACTTGTTGATGGTTTGTGCAAAGGTGGTAGACTAGATACTGCACGAGAGATTTTTCAATGCCTTTTGATCAAAGGCCATCATCTAGATGTTTGTGCATTTAACATTATGATCAACGGCCTTTGTAGAGAAGGGTTGCTTGATGAAGGTATGACCTTGCTTCAAAAAATGAAAGAGAATGGCTGCCTCCCTGATTTAATAACATATAGAACACTTGTTCGAGCCTTTTTGGAAAAAAGTGAGAATGATATGGTGGAGAAGCTTCTTCTTGAAATGATTGATAGTGGTCTTCTAAAGCAATAAAACTAGGTCAAACACTACTTGTGTATATATTGTACTCATTGAAATTTGTCTCTAATGGCGAGCAAATGCTTGCTTCTTTCCGACCCAAATTGTTAGATTATTTAATGGGCAGAAAGGAGTTGAAGAAATTTTGTTGAAGTTATAGGTTAAATATATTTGTTGACTTCGTGTATATGTTACCCTTGATTATTGTTATTATTATTATTATTTGGTCTTAACATGAACTTTTTTCCTTCTTCCTTCATGTTTCATTTCTAATTATTTATTATCTTTAAGGCATCACAGTTGTTGCTCATGAATTAGCATTTTTGCTTTTAAATTTTAGCTGAAATAAAGTTTTCTTGAATTAAATAATCTAAAATGATAATGACTTGCAGAATATTATGGACCACATGAAAGTTCTTTTATTTGTTTTCCAGCTAATAAGACAATGCCTGAATAAGCATAATTAAAGGTGTAAGAGTGTGCATTCCAAATGCTTGTTTCTTTTAGCTTACTACATAGTTTTTCTTTGGGTCTTCATTCAAATGTCCTTTAGGTTAACTATCATGAGTCTGAAATGCTTGAGCCCTTGAGTCTCCAATGTTATTGCTTGTACCTTTCTTATTTTTATAATCAACCACAGGAGGCTTATCAACTTGGGAATGTGAGTGTCAATACCATAATTTAGTTCTTTGATGCAATTTAAAATGTGCGCAGTGGCTTGATCAGAATTTTTGCCTAATTATTGGCAGATATCATGTTGTATTATTTTATGGTCTTCTATATATGCACTGCGTAAAATTTTCTGCCATTGATGAATTTCAGAGTTCCTTGGCATACTAACTATTGAAAAACTGGTTTTAGCACATAACTGTTTTCATGAGCATGCCAATGGAAACGTGTTATAAAAGTCACCTGCCAACCTTATTAGACAAGCTATTTTGCAAAATGTTTCTGACAAATATCATAAGTGAATGTATCAGAGGGATGACTGCTATCCTTGTTGCATAAACAAGATCTTGAATAGATGAGATTCTACATTAAAATTAGAAAAATGTTGACGCGGATTTATATGTCTGTTTTTTTTTTAGTACATAACTATTTTTACAAGATTTTAACTTTACTTGCTTTGGTTTTTAAGGGATAAAATTTTAAATTCATTCGACTTCAATATGAAACTTATCCCTCACCTTCCAATCACGTGTGGGAAAGAATTGGGGGGAAAAAGTTGGGGGGAGAAAGAAACAAAAAGAATTCACAAGTTCAAACACATCACTGCTAGGTGTTCTTTTTACCCTTTATTATACATTCAAGTAAGGGATCAAGTTATTTCTTTTATTATCATAGCAACTTACATGCACTCAAAGTGATGAAGATGGCATTGTTGTATATTCATAATCTTTTATCATTTTTTGATGGAATTCATGCAACAATTCTTAAGTTTATGAAACGAGCATGTATCATCATGATTATTATTTATTTTGACAAGCAGTGCAAGGTAACTGCAGGATTCTTTTAGAGAAAACCATAATTGTGGCAGAAGGCAAGACACTGGCGAAGGGTGTTTTCTGGTTGTTAACATTTCCTTTTTCATGCATCTGCTTTATACACTCTTTATTTCGTGATATCAGTATAACAATTATTTGACTTCATATATGCTTTTATTCATCCCATAAATGTGTTCAGGATACAGATTTACTGCAGATTTTATACAGCTTCTGGTTGTTATTTATATCGCATGTCCTTAAAGAAATGAAGCTGTAATCATGGATGCAGAATTTGAGTAATAAGAGTAGAACTAGTGTAATAAATGAGTGGTTTCTATGCAGCATCATTATAACTTTCAAGTCTTATGCAATTAAAATTAAAAGGATTGTGCGCAGTGCTCAATGAGTGGTAACTTATTCAATTTGGTACTTGTATGTACAGTTTAGATTATATACACGAACAAAGATTACATTGCCAAGAAATAGGAAATATTGATTGTTCAAACTTATCTGGGTATAGGAATCTGATATCTTTTAACCACTCACCACACTAGAAGGGTGAACAGTTAGGTACTCGTTGATTGGATGTTATCAAAAGTAACCTTAGTAGGAGCTTACAATTAGAGCTCCTAACAGGTTCCAATGTGAGGTGGATTGGCTGTGACGATATTGATGCTGTAAATTAAAGGGTTATATATACCTTTTTGGGTCAAACTGAAAGCAACAATATATATCCTTGGCTATTGATGATCATGACGCAACAACATATCTAAGGATTGGGTTGTTGACAGAGCACGATGGCGTCGTGTGATTCATGTAGCCGACCCCACCTAGTGGGATAAGGCTTGTTGTTTGTTTTTATTGATGATCATGACGGATACTAATTTGCTGAGTAAACAAATGTATTATTAATCTGCTGACTGATACCATGCATTCTTCCCAAAATTTGTCAGGTTTGATGATTAAAGTTGTTGGAATATTCCAGTTTGTTTAGTTTCCTTTAATCATGACTGCATGCGGCCTACTTTTCCTTTGTTTGCCATTAATTAGAATTGTCACTTCGGTTTTTGCAGATGTTAACAAGTCAATTTCCCTCATCGGAGCATAGAGATAAGTCACTTAAGAAGGTGGTAATTCTTTGATAGAGAAGCTAGCCAAGCTTCCGGCTCCATTTCCACTGCCGTTTTCACTCCTGCTATCTCTATCATTTGCAGTGCTAGGTCTAGTTTGAAAAACCAAAGACATTCATGCCAAGTTTTGTACAATTCGGGTAGATCGTTTTGTTCTGATCTCAAATTTGCTGCACAGATCTTCTCTTTATAAATTGGAGTCTTGCCAGCTATGATGAGCTATGTTACGATGTCAATATTTAAATGAGAAGTGAATCTGAGTCATGCACTATGATTCGAGAGATTATGAAGTGCATGCTAGTATACGTAATTCAGTGAGCCAGCTAGTTTACTGAACTCGCTGAACCATATGCAAACATAGACTTAGGAATAGGCCCAATGCTGCTGTGATACATACACCAAGATTCTTTATTCTTTCTAAAGTAGTGCCCATCATCTCTTACATGCACCAATCATGCCCTTCTTCAGATCAACTGGCAGAGAAGGAAAGAAAGTAATCAATATATATATACTACTCCGTCTTTTATTATAAGATCTTTTTAGCTAAATTGTGCGGTTTAAGAAAAATGTTAAAATTAGTTAAAAACAATTAATATGTAGCAAACGTAATTTTTTTCCAAATATACCCTTATATAAAAATGGCGAGATGTGAGAGAGTAATAATGAAATAAATAAATAAAGAGAATGTATTAAATGCATTAAACTAGGGATAAAATAGGTAATAATATATTAAATGTTCAGACAAACTCAAAAGGGATCTTATAAAAAGGGACAAATCTATTCAAAAAATCAAATCTTATAATAAGAGACAGAAGGAGTATATATTTTGGTGACCATTTTAGGAAAAAGATTGGGTTCACCCACGATCCAAGAGCAAAAGAACTAACCCTTGACTTCAACCCTATCCAGCGCCATAGCTTTGTTGGGATGGGGAGACATCCACGTGCGAAATCACAAAATGTTACGAGCTGAGGCCTCGGCTTTGAAGATACCTCCCCTAATGCCGCGACGTGCTCTAGAGTCGAACCTGCTTCCTTAGTGAGCATATCCAACTTTTTTGCCTGCTAAACCCATGGATGAGGAGTGATGATATGTTTGTTATGCTGCCTGATGTTTAGCTAGACAATGAAGAGGTGATTTGTTTCCTCAACTCTGTTCTCTCTTCTGTTTGCTTCTCTAGCACTTACCTTTTAGAAGCGGCTTGATGTAATCACATTGTTTCTGCATGGAGAAGGCTATGGGAAAGCTCGAAAGTGTACTGGGTGGTTTCCTTCATTCTTAGTTTTCATGGAAAACTTCTCATGCATGGAACCTTTCTTTTCCTTCTTTCTCAAGCCTCCAGTGTCAACACCTATTTGATTTGACTTATTTATTTTCATCTGAGATATGACCAGAAAAGCAGACTTTTAGGGTAATAGAATCTCAGCACCTAATGGAATATTTCCGAGGTCCCTTGCACATAGGGATACTTAGCCGAAATATTTAACCCAAGAGCTTCATCTAAATAAGATTTTATGGAATGTTTCTATCAGCTCTTCATGTTTCTGCTTGGTGTATCAGCTGACAATGTATTTCTCACTGCTCCTACAGCAAAATTGTTTGGCTGCAGGATCAGGCCGTTTTACTCTGGAGATTGTAATTTTATGCCACGATCTGCATTGCAGATTGCACTGTTCATGTGTAGCTTGTAATCTTGAATTGTTTAGGGAATTTAGAATTTTGAATCTATAAACCAACCCAGACTTTGACAAAGAGCCGTTCGGAGCCAATACATTAGGTATAATGACCTATAAAATTATATAAAATTTAAGTTTTGATGATGAAAAATATTAAAGAAGCTAACTTAATATGGAATAAAGTATTTTTAAGAGTTTTTACTGACAATATTCCACATTATTGTATATCATAGGAGAAATTGCTAACTATCTTATATTTAAAATTTCCTTTTGAAAAATTGATTTCAAGTTCCATACACTCATTCTTGCAAACAAGATTTAAACTTGAAGTTACTCAAAAATATATTTAAACTTTGTTGTTACTGTATTTTGGATTTAAATAAACACCCAATCCGTCCCTTACTGAGTGTGCCTCTATTTTTAACAAATTTTATATTATTTTTGTAATCTGTATTTAAATACATCGTGCATATTTCTGCGAATAAATCCAAATATTATTTGGCATCCACCCTCACCATGAGGGCCTAGATGCCCAGGTCTTCAACACCTTCGCCAATAGTCCAAATTGGATAGGACCATTTCTAGGACACATAGTCCCAAGTCCTAACAACTCCAAGGGCTCAAAAGCAACAGTACAAAGCCCCATAAATTACCGTGTCCCCTTCTGCTTTTTGTAATTTTGTTTCACTTTGCATATTTCCTAAATTAATACCCCTCCTCTTAATAAGTTTCAAATATCTAATTCACAGATAAAAAATAAATATTTAAAATTAGTTAAAAATAATAAATAGGTTAAAAATATAATTTTATGGTTAAATATGCAGTTATAATAAATAAAAAATAATAAAACTAACAAGTTGTTTGGTGAGGTGATAAGTAGCCTCACCCCATAAAGAAGAGAATACAAGTTTAAATTTTGAGAAGCGCACTTGTTGGGAGAGATAAAAAACGTTTGCGTTCCAAGCCTCGAAAGCAAATATCCTTAATCAAATGAAAAGAAAAAAAAGATGAAAGATAATATATAAAGAACTGTGACAAGAAGGTATAGCAAAGGAGAGAAAATAAATAATTAAAAATAAAAATAAAAAATGCATCAAATATTTAGACAAAACGTAAATTGAAACTTATAAAATAAATTATACCCCTCTCCAAATTTAAAACTTATAAATAAGACTAGAGGAATAATTATTACCTCTAGTTCTAAAGATAAGATCAAAATTATAGTGCAAATCACACTACAAACAAAATTTTATATTTAAAAGAGGAGGTAGTAATCAAATTTGATGGTCATCTTACAAATCAAGTTGGAGTTAGTTAGCAATTAAAAATTTAATCCAGATGAATCATTTAATTGATTGTTGATAATTCATAACTTGTTCATTGCAAATATAAAAAAATTACCAAGAGTGATCTTAAAACAAGATTTAAAAACAAAAAAAATCATAAGATAACAAAATAGGTTTTTTTAAAAAAAAAGAATTTAAAGAGCAGGAACTAACGGCGTAAAATTACAGGCAGACTTAAGCTCGTAATCTCTCCTTCACAAGGAAATATATATATGCCAATGGACTATAAGACACTTGGCAAAACAAGACAAGTTTCAGTGATACCGTCCCTCATAATAGGTTTTTGCATTTCAATATGCAAATGCTTCCAAGAGGCTAATTTGACAGTTGAGGCAGCTTCTCCTTGTAAAGGGAATCTTCCTTCATAAAGACAAAAAACTCCCATCTAACTTAACAAACTGGTAGTAATGGTTTGGCCAGAAAATTAAAAACAAAAACAAAACTACTGATAATGACATAAAAGTACTTTTCATTTTATTATTTAACTATTTCACCCCAAATGTTGGTTACAGTCAAAACTCAAAAGTAGCATTGTGGTTCTGTTTTAACCATTGCCATTGTTGTGTTGCTTTCACGAGATTCTATATCATAGAAGTCGAGACACATTCCATCATTTAAGGTTATCTTCTTTTGTTTTTTTTTTTTGGCCTTATCGTTTAAGGTTATCTTCAGAATTTACATGTGTATATTCCTTCACATTTATTTATTTATTTATTTAATATCCCTCAAGATGCATTTCATGTTGTGCTCCTAAATTATTGTTACAAATAATTTGAGCTGTAACAATGGTAATATCACTTACGATTATAAATCCTATTCTTTTTTTTTAATGAAATAGCCAAGTACATTATATGGAAAAGTAAATATATTAATCACATATAAAATAGCAGTGTGGCACCACACAACATAACTAACCTACATAAAAATTTACAAGAGAGAAAGTAAATATTGCAAAAACTAACAATTACCAAATTAAATTCCTCAACAACAGCTGCAAACCCAGAGGAATGCTACAGATGCTAGCTGTAAAGAGAGCAAAGAGCAGCATCAATTATTTTTGAAATGGTCTTTAAGCATCTAGAAAAAGTTTTTTAACCGTGAATTATGAAATACTCCTTTGGTCTTTAATATAAGACCTAATTATTGAGCTGATTTTGGTCCTAAATATAAAACTAATTTCTCATATTTATCAATTTTTCTTAAATTACCTTATGGATACTCTTTCAACATAATTAAGTAGAAGAGGGAAAGAGAATATTAAAAAAGATGATTATGGTATTTTAGAAAAAAGACATGTCATATTTCTTATAATTAACTAACTTCTTTAATCTAATCAAATTAGTTAAATAAGTCTTATATTAAGGACATGAGGGGTATAAAGTAAATATATAATAAAAATTTTATCTCGACTCATATAAAAATACTCATATTAAGTAATTTCAAACAAGCACCACATACCGTCAATACTTAAAACTAAAGTTGCAACTTTTTAAAGTAAAATAATCATTGATGTTCAAGTTATCACTTACTCTTAAAATCTAAATATAACTTTTCAAAAATAAAGTACTAATTTTTTGTAAGAATCAAATCATAATTTTAAAAGTAATTTTATGATATACAAAATAAGTATGTAAAAAAATTTATCCCAATTTGTATAAAAATATTTTTTAAAATGTTTTTTAGTATACCATTTCATAATTAATTTGTTTATGTCAATGGGGGTGTGTGCGCTCATTGGGCTTGGACTCGCAGAAGAACATGTGGAACTGTGTGAGAAACAAAATTGAACCGTTGAATTTGAAAAGCACTGATAGTGATGAGAGAGAAGGGAGGCTATTTGTTGGGGTGTCTGCGGGACCCACCTTCATCTCTGCCATCCATTCCTTCCTTCAAACTCCAATCAATCCATCGCATCATCACATATGATTTGTTTTTTTTGTTTTATTTTAAAAAGTGACCCCGTCCCAGTATATTGGTACAATGATTAAAATGAGCAATAACAATGGTAAATAATGGGGTTCCCTACAATTTTTTTTACAGCTATATTGATTATGTTACTGATTGTTGGTAGTAGGTGAATACTGCGTTTTGTCATGATTTTATCAATTTTATTAATATATTTTTTTAATTATATAGGTTTTTATTACAAATCATATCAAGAAAAAATTATATTGTTCATATTATGCTCCATATAATGTATGATCCCTGAGAAGATCTAAACATCTGCTTTTTTAATTACATATATTTTTAAGAATAAATTGATTTTTGGAGATTTTATTGATTGAATTACACTTAAAGAAAGATACATTACATATTATTGCTAGATCTTCCAATTTTATTGTCATGTTAATTAATTAACTCATAATCGATACTAAAATGCACACAGGGTGTGATAACATG